TTCTAAAGCCTCCCTCTCACATATTAAAGTTAGAGGTCTAATTTTTGTCATTAATGAGCTGCCTTAAAGAGTTGGAATAGNTGTTCGAAAATTGTCCAATTTGGACTGGGTTAAAAATATTCTATTCCTTTTTTTTTACCTCTGTATCACTAAGGTCTCCTTCTAAATTCTCACAATGCCCCTAGCAAAGAATTTTATAAAAATAGATTCAGATATTTTAGTTTAGATTCATGCTTTCTTACTTTTTTACTATCTTTGTCTTGGTTCAGCATTATTATCTGATCTTCGTGTTGACAATTTAATGCTAAAATAAAAATGAAATAATAAATTTCATTAGCAGATAAATATCATATGACGAGGTCAAATTAATATAATATCCCGGCAGGGAATTTTAGGTTGGTAATTTAAAAAACACATTAGAATTGTTTTTTTTTTAAATTCATTAAAAGAAATTGTTTACGTATTTAAAATAACAGAAAAGGTTTGATTTCGTTTTTGAACCCAATTAAATATGTTTCCGAATGGACTATATATACAGGGTGTCCCACGAAACATGGCAGTTGGTAAAATGCCTTCTTCCATAATTTGTTAAGTTGTTTGATACCAAAGATGATGATAAGACATACTTAATGATTTGGTTATCAAAATAACCTGCAAAAAGTCTTAAATAACTAATTTAGTTTCATGGAAGAAGATATTAAAAACTATTCACCAGTTGTCATGTTTCGTGGGACACCCTGTACGTAATTTTAATTGACACTCTACTATGCAAAGGTGAAAATTTGCTTGATTCACAACGGTAAACTTGAAACCGTTATCTGATCAATAATGGGAATGATATTTTCGTTTTTCTAGGGTTTAAAGTGTTTATTTCTTATAATTCCTAGGCGTTTTCCTGGGGTAGAAGGGGCAACTTTTGCAGAGAAATCAGTTTTCAGAATTTTAAACATTGATACCCTTTTCATACTTAATTAGGCATCACTTTAAACGGGGTACTGTCGTGAATCGGGCATTGCCATCTATCAAGAGAGGGCAAGGTAGTATTATAAGGTTGGTTACTATTGATGCACTCCAATGTACGGAAAATGTCGTCAACTAAGATAAAAAACCTCATATGACGTCACTAATTATAGAAGAAAGAGTGACGTCATTCAAGGTCTTTATCTATTTATCTTAGGAGTCGATATTTTACGTACATTGGAGTGCATCGAGAGTAACCAACCTTATTTTACAACCTTGATAGAGCTGGTACTCCAAATAAACCTGGATCGTAGTCCTCGCTCCAGTAGTCTCCTCTTCTAGAGTGCAGAGGAAGAATTATACTCCAGGCTAGAACCAGAAATGAAACCTCCCATCTCAAATTAGTTTTATGAATGTATTGATTTGTGTACTTTATCATTTATGTTCATTTTCATGTAAATTTCATTATACAGTGATAACCAGAAAACAATGGAGTAGTAAGACGACATCATAGCAATACTTACGCGTTTTGATGTTGTTACAAAGCAAATATTGTTACTAGTAACTTAGCAAAGCAAAATTTAGGTGAAAAGGGCCTATTTACAGTGCACAATTGAACTAGTATAAGTCCTAACTTGAGTTTAAACGTCGTCTTTCTATTTCAGAGTTTTCTGTTTATCACTGTAGCATTGATAAAACTCACTAGATTAGCTACAGGGTCACCCCCAAAGGATGAGACTGTAAAGACGATCTAAAACTGCTTAAATACAGAGATAATCAGAAAGCTCTGGAAGAGCTGAAGACAACTTTTTAACAATAACTAGGCGTGTTTGAACTATTTAAAGTAATAACTTGAGTCTAAAAGTCGTCTTCCTATCCCAGAGTTTTATATTTTCACTGTATATGACCATTCTAAGATTAAATTAAGTTTTGCCTTAACTGTAGTATTTTAATGGCATTTATACAGATTGGACAAAGAAAAAACAAGTTTACAGTTGCAGGGAATATAGGGAAACAGACAGTATAAATTCCGTGTAATTATACGTGTAAAAATTATTTTTAAAAAAAGAGATAAAGAAATTTCACCTTAGTACAAGTATCATAGCTCAACGTTGAACCAATCCAGTCTAGATAAAAAGAAAGGTCATATTTATGTGACTTTAGGACCTCATAACTTCACTAGTATTTATATTACGCCCCAGTAAGAGAAACGCTATACTTCAAGGAGAGAACTCGAGATTAAAAAACCATGAAAGATTTAAATTAAAGGTGAAAATTACTTTAAATTGGCGTGAAACGTATTCATTTACAACATTCTCACTCAACTAATGCACAGATAGGATAGAATTGGAGAGAATATTTACAAAATGAAACATGATACTAAAAATTGTAACATTTAATACTCGTGTTCTGAAATTCAATCTTGTTTTTTTATTTTTTTATTCTTATCCAAATTAATAAAAATATTTTCAAGTAAATAAAATTTCTAATCTAGGCGAAGAAATATCAATTCAATTTAACATTCCAAATGTTCAGGCCCGTAAATGAGTGTTTTTGTAAGCGGTGGGAGGGGCGGCGCATCGAATGAAACGAATTTAACGAGGCAGAGGTTCATCGTTTAATTATATATCACTAGCTGAAGTGGAAAAAATGAGTAAACAAAATTTGAATAAAAACAATTTCGATTTTTAAACCTCATTACCCCCCCCCCCCCTCGTCCATCCATTAGTTTCCACAAAAAATTCTGCCCGTTCAGTCCAGCCGTTTGGCCGACTATTCGCAACATATATATGAATGTCTTGTTTTAAATGAAATTTTAAATGAACAATAATATCTGGAAACAAATTAATCTTTATTTACATCATATAATACAAATATGTAAAAAAGTAAAAAAATATATAGTCTAGGATTTGCAAAATGAAATGGGCAGAAATTGTTAAGTAATTGTTGAATAAAAATGGAACTTGCCAGCATGTACAGGGTGTCCCACGAAACATGACATTTAATAAATAGCTATTTTTAGTTTAACAAATCTTTTGATTAATTATATTTTACTTTGAAATCAATTTTGATACAACATGACTCCCATATAATATTTTTATTGATCTTTGGTATCAAACAACTTAATAAATTATGGAAAAAGACATTCTAAACTATTCACCAAATGTCATGTTTCCTGGGACACCCTGTATGTATTGAACCTCTTCTGTATGTATGTATTGACCTACTGCACTATCGGACCTACGCCAGCTGATTATTTTTCTATTATTTGAGGGCTGGTTTGTAGCAATAAGTGGGCATGCAAGATATTCTGCGAAATTGCAGTACGTTGTATATTGCTAATAATTAAAGGTTGTAAACTTGTATATCATTATTCATGGTAACTGCGTTTCAATGGATTAGGTAATATGTTTAGCTTGAATCATGCGACATAATAGAATTATGAGATAAAAACATATAGTTATACTGCGTGATATACATTTTCTCAAATCTTGTACTACGCTATGCAGACCGTGCCTCCGCTATGCAGTAAACGAGCCTCCCCATACAGCACAGCTTTTTTTAAATCTTGTTTTTTATGAGTGATGAAAAATTTTAACAATTTTTTTGACGTAGTGGCATAAGAATTTTACTAAAGATTAGAGTTGTTCATTGATTGTCATGATTAGAAACATATATGGTCTCATATAGTTGATTATAAGATTTATATTAAAACTTTAAACATTTCTTACGCAGAAAGGAAGATATTTGGAGAAATATTTCTGGAGTAAACTTGGTTTGTTTTGTTGAAATCTTTGATTTAAACAATACCTTTTTTTGAAAAATGTTAAGATTTCAATAATAAATACAAATTTTTTAGATTTATTTTGAACTTCAAAAAAGGTATTGCTAAAATCAAAGATTATAAAAGACGAAATGAAATTGAATTCAATTTTTTTTCTGAACATTTTCCTTTTGATGCAAAAAATTTGTAAAGTTTTAGATACAACTTTATTAGTCATAATTAGGCACAATTTATGATAATTAATAAATACTTTTCATCTTTGAGAAGCCCATCATGCCACTATGTCTAAAAATTTCAAAAAAACTCTTTTATTTAAACTTAAAACATAAGTTTTAAAGAACCTCCTGTATTACACAGGCACATTTTGATGCGTTGCGCATGCTCATGGCTTGGTCTGTCTAGCAACTTTGGGAGGCTAGTGTCTGCATAGCGGAGACTCATGGCGTCCGGGGGTTCCCTCCCTCACAAGACTTCATTGAAAGAATACAATTGATAGCCAGAGACAATGTTTGAATGGTGCGAAAACTTGGAAACTCTGCTTAACAACGACTGGGAAACAATTCTTGATGAAGATATAAAAAGGATGATGGAAATTCTTGACTAAGAACTGGGGGATGGAACCGTTCTTTAACTAAGAACACGAGGCAAGAGTCAAGACCCGCCAGTCCGGGCTAGCATATGTCTTCGGATTTTTAAAGCACGCAATTTGTTGCCAGTCACGGGTGGCAAAAATCTTGTAAAAATGCGCGTTTAGGCAGGCTCTCTGCTGTTCCAGTCGGATCGCTTCATGTACGAGGGTGCTAGAGCGTCGGAAAACCCGTAGGTCGCAGGGTGCAAACTGCCAAGAACTGAACGATCGTTCTTAGACCAAGAATAGAACTGAACGAGAACGGAAAAATTGGAAAAAAAGGAATGAAAACAGAACGATCTAGCTGAAAGACCTCGTTCTAGAAAGAACGATTTCAAAAAGTCGGAACATGCCCAGCCCTATATGTCATATGTACAATGTAAATGTAAAATGCAGATTTAAAGCTATGCATAAGACAACTTCAAATATAAGATAATGGCCAAAAGCGGACTAATTTTACTATATTAAAACTTTAAGATGTAAAAAACTTAATTTTTTTTTTATATCTTCCAATCTGAAGCGTTAATAGCTTGTCAATGAAACTAAATTGGCTTAATAGACCAAGACCCCAAAATCATGTGAATTAAATTGAACAATTTAAAGCAATACACGTACTGGAATAAATAGTTTTTTAAATAGAATAGTTTATTTGAAGTTGTATATCACATTATATAAGGAATTACTAAGTCATTTTCATTCAGAATTAGATAGTTTACTGATGAATAATATCTATTAAAAGGGATAAAATTTATGCTAATAGTTACATTAAAATAGATAATTTCTCATAAAATCACAATATTAAAATTTTGACAGAATTCTTTGTTTAGCTGTCAATATAGAATTGGGCTATAAATTGATCAAGAATTTATCATACTTAATTCATTTGATCACAAATTAATCGTTAGGATCATTTACTGATTAAGGATTATCAATCAGGGGTAGTTTATCTTGATGGAAGGCTACACTAAGATGTTGATCAGTTAAGTCTTCATAATCAATCGAAGCCTAGAATATAAGATAATTAAAAAAATCGATTAGATTCTAAGATCCAAAAAAAGTTGTCACAAAAAAACTAAAAATTTAACAGCAAAAAAGGCAATTATATGGGTCAGTAACATTTCGTCTAGTACACTTTCGTCTAAGTTCACTTTTGTCTAGTTCATTTTCGTCTAGTTCATTTTTGTCCAGTTTATTTTCGTCTAGTTCATTTTTGTCTAGTAACCTTTGGTCTAAGTAACATTTGGTCTAAGTAACATTTGGTCTAAGTAACATTTGGTCTAAGTAACATTTGGTCTAAGTAACATTTGGTCTAAGTAACTTAAATGTTACTAGACCAAATGTTACTAGACCAAATGTTACTAGACCAAATGTTATTAGACGAAAGTGTACTAGACGAAATGTTACTTAGACCAAATGTTACTAGACCAAATGTTATTAGACGAAAGTGAACTAGACGAAATGTTTCTGAGCCCTTACGAAAAACGTAATAAGACAAGCGATTTTTTAAATTCTTTCATACCCCCGCATCTTATCTAAACCTCAGATCTCTTAACCCAAATCTTATACAACCAATGTATTTCCCAACCCAAGGCTTTGCCGACCCTTAGCTTTTTAAAAAGCAGGTTTTTAAAGAATTTCTTAAACCTAAAGATTTCCAACCCAAATCTCTCCAAACCTGGACCTTTTTCAACAGAGGCCTTTCCCGTCCCAGGTCTTAACCAAATCACACCTTTCCCTACCGAATGCTTTCCCAACCTCAAAGCTTCCCAACCCCAAGCCTCTCCCAACCTCAAAGCTTTCCCAACCCCAAAACATATCCAACCCCACAGCTTTCTCAGCCGAAGCCTTTATCATCCCAATGATTTCCAAACCAAGGCTTTCCCAATTCACAGCTTTCACAAACAAAGGCTTCTCCAAACAAGGTCTTTCCCAGTCCACGTACTTACCAATCCTGACTTTTCCCTGTCCAAGCTTATCCCAACCAAGGCCTTTCCCAACCCATACCAAAAATCTTACCGATTGTTCATTGAAGGCACTGTCCTCCTGGTGCTGACTAGTATCCTTCCTTGGGATACTTGGTGTAGAAGCTCCCTCAGCTCCAGACTAATCAATCAGTCAATCGTCAATTAATCAATTCATCTATATACAAGCAATTCAATTCATCTATATACAAGCAAATCCATCAATTAATCTAAATACAAGCAATTCAATCAATTCATCTAAATACAAGCAAATCAATCAATTCATCTGAATACAAGCAATTCAATTCATCTATATACAAGCAATTCAATTCATCTATATACAAGCAATTCAATTCATCTAAATACAAGCGAATCAATCAATTTATCTATATCCAAGGAAATCAATCAATGCTTCTATATATAAGAAAATCAATCAATTAATCTATACACAAATCAAATCAATCAGTTAATCTAAATGCAAGCAAATCAATCAATTCATCTATATGAAAGCAATTCCATTCCTCTAAGTACAAGCAAATCAATTATTTCATCTATATATAAGAAAATCAATTAATTAATCAATGCACAAGCAAATCAATCAGTTAATCTATATACAAGCTAATCAATTAGTCTATACACAAGCAAATCAATCAATTCATCTTAATACTTCCAAGTCAATCAATTCATATAAATACAAGCAAATCAATCAATTCATCTATATAAGCGCAAATCAACAAAGTTAATTAATCATCTGATATATCAATCAATCAGCTAATACATCAATCCATCTGTCAATCAATATATCAATATGTCAATCAATATATCAATCTGTCAATCAATATATCAATCTGTCAATCAATATATCAATTTGTCAATCAATATATCAATCTATCAATCAATATATCAATCTGTCCTCAATCAATTTATCAATCAATATATCAACCTGTTAATCAATATATCAATCGGTCAATCAAAAGGACAATTATAGAGCGAATATGACAATAAATATAATAATCAGCCAATGCATCAAACATTGAATTAATCAGCTTATATAGAAATAACTCAATTCGCAAACAGTCAATAATTTATAAGCAATATATCAAATATATATTGCTTAATAAATTACACAGTTTACCATTAAACAAATAAATCATTATTGAAAAAAAATTAATCAGCAATGAGGAGAAGATCATGTTTACCATTATTGTATTAAAATCCATGATTGGCGAGACAGAGAACGCCATTGATGCCATCTGTGGTTGGCCACGGTTTTTGAAGAATCTAAGTTTTGACCTGAAAAATATTAGACTTAATAGCAAGACAATTAAACAATTACATTTGCTGAGGTTGCCAATTATGCGTCTTGAAGGGACTAAAAGTGTGATTTTAAGTGGTCCTTCATGCAAAGATGGCAATACCCGATTTACAACAGTACCCTGGAAAAATGTGGAAGATACAATCGTTATTCTGTTTCTTTTTACAAGTTTCTCCCAAGTCACATTTGCAGAGAAACTGCAAATGAAATAAAAAGTTTATAGAAACAAAAACATTGATATCTAATCATACTTGATCAGACAAAGCTTTTAAGTGTACTGTTGTAAATCGGGCAGTGCCATCTATGCATGGAGGGTCACATGTGATTTCTGAGGATTAACTATCGATAAAGCAACAAAAGATACGGTTTAGTGCTTTCTGAAGATAATCTATTCAAAAGTTATTACTCAATTCAGAAGAAAAATACCTTGATGAGCCCGAAGTATTTATTGGCGACTCTGAATAGAGAGGATTATCACAGGACACAATAGTTCCTCGTTTAACCACCTGGACACTTGGCTCATCCTAGAAAAGAGATATTTTTACAAACACAAATTTTTTCAAAATATTTTTTTTCTAAAATAGGAGGTATGGGACAAATCATAGTGCAGTTATCTCAAGGGTGGAAGTTCATACGCAAAAATTGTAAAAATCTTGCCATTAATATCTTAAATCAAGTGCCTTTTAGGCATAAATTATTAATGTGTAGGACTTCAAAAAATAAAATTGTAGCGTAGAGAGGTAAAATCAAAGTCCATGGCGTTACGATCCAGCCTTAAAAATTAATCGAACTTGTAAAAGCAGCCTGGATCTATGTGGAATAATTGAATTCTTATTTTAAATTTACTCTTTCCTATCCGCACCTTCTTAGAAAAAGGAATAGAGTTTTATTCCCAAATTAAAATTTTCGAATCCCTATATTTTTGCAAACTGATGGTGTAAACGTTTGATATTTAAAATGTTCAAATATCAAAGGTTTAAAAAACCAAAATAATTTACAGCTAGAAATAACAAAGTCTACAATATAAGGATGCAAAGAAAGGAAGATTATAACATCTTTCCCAACAATTCAGTCAATTTGTCATAACTCATACTTTTGGGAGACACAAGATCTTTCTTGCAGCGTAAAACAATGTAATTCAATTAGAAATTGTCGACCTTTGCATTATTATTCCAGGATGCTCCTTCATCAATGACCCCAAAGTTACTGTTGGAAAATCCTATGGTGTCCTCGGGCTGTTTTTTCATCCTCCTAGAAACACATTAAGAGCATCAATTGAAAAAACTAGATTTCTCTTTAGAAAGACTATAAAAGTGTAAAGTTATCCTCAATACAAAGATTGCAATTCCAAATTCAATATGATAACCTTAACAACTGATCCAAGTATGAATCAGATATTAATGATTTTAATTTTGAAAACAAATTATTTTTCTTAACAAAAGGCTTTACTGGTTACCGTTATCATGCATTGCTATCTTAGCATGGAGGGTTACTTGAAATTACACTTAAAAGATGGGTTAATTAACATTATTTGGGAGCATTTGGTTCGAAATTGGGAAATAAGTTGTGGCAAAGGCCAGATTTCTACCATTTTAAAACAAAGTTAAATCATAAAGTTTTTTAAAATCAGATAATGTGTCTTAATATAAATCCTACCTGATTTTTAACCAAGAAAATAAAAGAATACTGCCAAGAACCAGCAGAGCAATGATGATCACAATAGCTAGACACAAGTCGGTTTTTCGAAAAATTATGCTTAAAAAACGTTCCAAGATTTTCAACGAATTTGCAAAATAAATATTTAATTATCCTTAACAAGTTATTAGGAAGAACAGAGTCCGACTTTGATGATTTTGAGCCGCGTCTCAAATCCACCAAAAACTTAAATATTGAAACATTGAATACAATTTTAATTGAAACCAACCATATTTGAGTCGTGTCTCAAATTTTGATTTGGCCTCTGCAAAGATACAAGAAAAAAATTTCATATATAAAAAGCTTAAAGATAAGTGAAAATTCTTAAGCTGAGAATCAATCTCTGTCGTGAAATAATTTAAAAATCCCTTGATCAAAATAAATCAAAAATAATTAAAATCAATAAAAAACAAAACTAGTGATCAAAATGTATCAAAACATGATAAAAATTGTTTAAAAAGTAATCAAAATCAATAAATATCAATAAAATGAATATCAAAATCATTATAAAACATCTGAAAATTGATGAAATAATACCTGCCGCTACTCCAGTGTTCCTGGCGTGCAAGGGTTCTATAAATACCTGCCACTACTCCAGTGTTCCTGGAGTGCAAGGGTTCTATAATTCCTGCCATTACTTCAGTGTTCCTGGAGTCCAATATAAATACCTGCCACTACTCCAGTGTTCCTGGAGTGCAAGGGTTCTATAAATACCTGCCACTACTCCAGTGTTCCTGGAGTGCAAGGGTTCTATAAATACCTGCCACTACTCCAGTGTTCCTGGAGTGCAAGGGTTCTATAAATACCTGCCACTACTAGTGCAAGGGTTCTATAAATACCTGCCACTACTCCAGTGTTCCTGGAGTGCAAGGGTTCTTTTTTAATATCCTCAGTTGAGTTTGTCCTCTGCTCTTCAAGCTCATAGTCTGTTGTAGACATGACACTAAACAAATTAAAGGGACTATAGTCTGTAGTAGACAGGAAACTTAACAAATTAAAGAGACTGTAATCTGTTGTGGAAATGACACTAAACAAATTAAAGGGACTGTAATCTGTTGTGGACAGGACACTAATCAAATTAAAGGGACTGTCATCATAAATGTATCTGACCCTTCTTTCAAATATGGCAATGCCCTATTCACAACAGCATAGCCTTTAAACCTTTATCTCTTAAATAATGTGGAAGATATTGTCAATTTTCTAGGTATAAAATTGTTACATTCTGATAATTTCTTAATGTTTTCCTGCAGTTCTTGTTGTAGAGAAACCACAATTGAAAAAGTTAGTTTTCAAAATTAAAAACATTGATATCTAATTTATACTTAAAGACAGGAAGTTAGGACTTTTCCATCCAAAAAATACACTTTCATACAAGTAAAAAGAACCATTTTTTAGAAGTTTTAAATCATACCTGAAAGTTGTTGGTAATGAAGAAGTAGAGACTGATGAGACTTCGGGGAAGCATTCAAGAGAACTTGTATTCAGCTTCATGAAACCAGGAGGACAAGCACAAGATGTAGACAAACCTAATAAAATGGAAAAGATCAAAGATTTAGTATTGAAAAGATCAATTCCTAAACTAACTCAATAGTCATAACCTTTAATTAATGGATATTAATATTCTTTTTTGAGTTTTGCGCTTTTTTTGCACAAATATAGAATAACTGGCAAATTTAAACTTTGTGATTTGGTAGAACTACATCATTACATTTTCACTGTCAAGTGTCAATAAGGTTTCAACAGTGGATCGAAAATGACTGGGTCATTTTTTAAATTTGAGTATTATGTGTGCAGAATTGAACACTTCCAAACTTGTATCAAAATATGTGCAACAATCTTTCAGTTGTATCTCACAAATGTTAATCAACAAACATGTAAAACATGTGAAGGTTAGAGACATACCTTCTCCTAGCAGACAAATGTGAGAACATCCCGCTTTTAAACAAGGATTAGCAATTGCAGGTTGTTCTTGCTCCTACACAAATTTAATGTATTTATAACAAATGATGAGGAGTTTTTTAAAACTCAGCGTATGTTCAAGAATAGTGTAATAGACCTTTTAATTAAGTCCTAATCAGAAAGACTTGGAATTAATTTACAATTAATCAGACGACTTAACAATCCTATTGTTCAAATATGATTGATGGAACAATTCACAAAATTGCCCTAGTCCTGCCATTTTCAAAACGTGGTCTGCTTAAGCATTTAAAATTTAAATTTAAATTGAAATATGTAAATTTGACTAATTAACTGTCAATTAATTCCGGGTCTTTCCGGAAAAAATGGCCAAAATAAAACAAATAAAATTGTTCCCAAATTTAAAATTAGCCACTTCCCAAATTGCTTATCTTCTATATAGTAAAACAAGACATTTTTATATATATGTTGCGTATAGTCAGCCAAACGGCTGGACCGATTGGGCTGCATTTTTTTGAGGACACTCATAGTTGGCCGGGAGTTTTATAAAGGCTAAAAAAATTGGAATTTAACAAACAAAAAAATTTGCCCAAATTTTTTTTCCACGGCAACGCCGGGTCCTTCAGCTTGTTAAATATAATTTTCATCCTCCATACAGGACCAACTTTATTTGTGAGATTTAAAAACCCAAAGTTATCAATGTGAATAAAATCTAAATTTGAATAGATCTAAGCAGTTTTCATTTACCTGTACGATGAGAATACCATGAGAGGTTTCAGTCACAAACCCATATACGGGGGAAACACTCACGCTAGATGAACTCAAGTCAAACCTGTTAACCTAAAAAAAAAAATTCCTTGAAATGACTTCTTTACCTTACTTTAAGGCATTGGGTACTGTGTAATTATACAACACAGGGCTAGCCACATAGAATTAGACTTCAGAGATGACTGTACGAATTTATATCGTCTTCTTCCTTAAATTTATGATTCCTTGCGGCAATAAACTTGTTTCTTGGCAAAATTATCAAATAAGTCATCAAAAGACTATATTTAAGGCAGAAGACTTAATTTACGCTTGGAATAGTCGCATTTTAAGTCTCAGGTCGTCTTTACAGTTTCATCCTTCGTACATTACCTTCATGAAATACCAAAATATATCTACCTCTTTTGAATTTGGTGTGAGCCAGTATAATTTATTCTCAAAATTGGTGACATAGGTAGGGATAGAGTTCAGTGAGTACACAACCCTCAGATTTGTACCCGCATAATTGTTCGACATTATCAGTCCACGGTTTCTAAATATTCAGCCTTTTGAGAAAGGATTAAATAAAAATAAAATAAATATTAATTCTGACCTATCAGTCCAGAAAACTCTTCGAGCATGAATGTCCAGAGTTAGTCCCAGAGGGATACTCAGCTTAGAATCAGAGAGCTTGTTGATCCCTGAATTTAATATCATTATGTGGGGAATAGAGAATTTTAACCAGAATGATTTGTGATAAGAGAAAGGACATTGAAATAGAGAGGAATCAAGGGTTTGCTTAATGAGAGCAATGAGATAGGGAATGAGAGGAATCAAAGGTTTGCTTAATGAGAGCAATGAGATAGAGAATGAGAGGAATCAAAGGTTTGCTTAATGAGAGCAATGAGATAGAGAATGAGAGAAATCAAGGGTTTGCTTAATGAGAGCAAGGAGATAGAGAATGAGAGAAATCAAGGGTTTGCTTAATGAGAGCAAGGAGATAGAGGAATCAAGGGTTTGCTTAAAGGGAGTGTTCGCGAAAAATGAAAGGGGGTATCGGCTTAATGCGATAAAAAAGCGCTTTTGATCGCTACTAATTTTACTTCTATCTGTTGCGTCTATAAGGAGAAAATTGTTAAAAACGACTAATACAGAAGAACGCAGCGCCCATACAAATTCGGAAAGATGCAACATTCAACTCGGATCGTAAACAAATCAATTTAATTCCCAACAAATCATTCAGATATTACAAACAATAGTCATCGGTTATTTTTCGACGCATTCATACTTAGTTAATATTTCATAATATTTTTGATTTTGTTTTTTTAGATTAATTTTCGCTGGCGCTGGATTTTCGAACATTCCTGGAAAATATGAAAATGTCGTCTTCATTATCAAAAATCCTCGAAACAGGAAAAAATGTAACTCTCAGATCATGAAAAATACAAAATATTATGAAATATCAACTATTTACGAATGCGTCGAAAAATAATCGATGACTATTGTTTGTAATATCTGAATGATTTGTTGGGAATTAAATAGATTTTTTACGATCCGAGTTGAATGTTGCATCTTTCCAAATTTGAATAAACACTACGTTCTTCGGTGTGAGTCGTTTTTAACAATTTTCTTCTTATAGACGCAACAGATAGAAGTAAAATTAGTAGCGATCAAAAGCGCTTTTTTATCGCATTAAGCCTATACCCCCTTTCATTTTTCGTGAACACTCCCTTTAATGAGAACAAGGAGATTAAAAAGGAGAGGAATAAAGAGTTTGCTTAATGAGAACAAGGAGATTGATAAGGAGACGAATCAAGGGTTTGCTTAATGAGAGCATTGAGATTAAAAAGGAGAGGAATCAAGGGTTTGCTTGAAAGCAAGGAGATAGAGATGAGATATATCAAGTGTAACAAGGAGATAAGAGAATGAGATGAATTAAGGGTTCGCTTCATGAAAGCAAGGAGATAGAGAATGAGATGAATCAAGGGTTTGCTTAATGAGAGCAAGGAGATAGAGAATGAGAGGAATCAAGGGTTTGCTTAATGAGAGCAAGATTTTTCTTTATTGTTAACAACCAGCAACGAAAGTATTAAAACAAAAATTGTGTTCCTTATAATTTCATGACTTGAGGTTTTCATAACTTTTGAAAAGTCGTAAAAATCTCAAAATTCTAAGCATTTGCTCTCCTTACACTGAATCAAATTTTAACCCTTAGAGAATCTTTATAAAGTCCAAAAACTTTTAACCTTGAAATACAAACGAAGCTAAATTCAAAACACTATCTGTAGATGTGGTTTCTTAATACGGTTTCTTATTACAATTTGACTTGTTTCTACCTTTACTGCTGCCGTTGAGACTGTAGCTCCAGATACCTCCGACAGGGAAGGAAAGGAAATTACTGCAAGACAAATGTTGAATGTAACAGTCATTTGTTCTTAAAAGTTTTGGAGCACAATTATATAGAAGGCATTACAAAAGTGCCCCTTACCACGGGCAGCCGCAGTACATTTGAATTTCCGAGCCGGGTCAACCTTTCCGGTCCCAGTTTGTACAGTACCTAGCTCTTGGACAGGACTAGCTGGTGCAACAAGGTTGACGCGGTCAGACTTTATGCTTCATATAGGTTCAATTTACTTTTACTAAAGGGGCAGAGGTGCATGTTCAAACCTTTGTCTGACAAAAAAATGACTATTTTATCAAATTTTAAAAATGGCCAATCGCAATTTTTCTAAACAAATTAATTATGAATTTGTGCAAAGACTAGTTAAAGTCTAGAAGAACTTATCCGTTTTTGGAAAGTGAAACAACAATATATTCCTAAAAGAATAGATCCTTAATATCTCTGCAAGACAAGATTAAACCACATTTAAGAATGTTAACGTTTTCATTTTTTTGAAGAACGATAGTTTTTTTCGTTTTCCTTTCGTTTTTTGTTTCGTTTTCCGGTTGTTTTAAAAACTATAGTTTTTTAAAAAAGTGTTTGAAACGATTGTTTTTAAAATGATCGAAAAACGAAACAAAAAACGATAGAAAAACGAAAAAAAAACGATCGTTGAAGGATAGTTTACAAAAACGATTAACAACCCTACACATTAGTACCTTCGGTAGGCAGCCACAAAAAGTTTCCCTACAGTGGGATCCACAGCAATTCTAGTTATATGTGGTTCAGGGGCCTACAAAATAGCTTAGTATATACATTGTTTCTATTGTAGTTTGTGGCAGAGTAAACCATTTTTTGAAAAACCATCTCCCATGCATGTTTAATTAAAACATTCATTAACAGATAGCCTACACAATTTAATAAAAATCAAAGAGGTTTAAACTATTTGAAAGGGGCACAAGTAAACAAATAATATGACTTACATTTAGTAATGTTGTACAGTTCTTGTTGTATGTACATACAGCTATAGAACTCTTGGCTTGTTGGGTGTAAAAAACATTTCTTGTCACCCAGTCAATGGCAATTTGATCCGGCCTGGAAAATACACAACATTTTTAAAAGTCCATTAAGAAAAAAGATGTAATCTGAAATGACCATTTAGATTCCTGAAACTATAATAGAAATTAATTCATGCCTTTCAATATTCTTGAGCCAAGCTTCATTGACACTTCTCTTTGTAGCAGATCCAGAGACTTCATTACTTATCTTGGTCAAAGTTATAACTCCTCTGAAAAAAATGTAATGGCATAGAGGTTTAGGGACAAATTCCTTAAGACTTAAAAGACTTAAATAAGGATTCTGAAAAATGGGACGCTTAGCAATTTTCGTAAAATAAATTTCACTTCATTTAAGCTGATTTCACTAAACTACATTACCATCAAAAGATAAGAAAAGATAGAAACAACTGCATAGAATTTATGGAATCCTATATATTATGGGTTTCTACAGCTTAGAAGTTTGAAATTTAAAATAAAGATTTAATGAATAATTTTAACAATGTCCTAATTTAAACCCCTGAATTAAAAAGGGAAACTACCCATTACAACCATGTTTTTTTTTGTTGATTTATTATTGGACATGTAAAATAGTTATACCTGGAGGGAATAGAGGCGAATATTTCTCCAGTTTTCTGATTTACATCAAATGATTTAACAAATCCCGGATAGGTTGATATCAGTCGGTGACTAAAAATTCAACAATTGAAGAATATCAGCATTATTTCAAATTATCCTTCAAGCTTGATTTACAATTCACGTTACACCTTTATATTTCAAGTGACATAAGAAAGATGTCATCTTAAATAAATTTTCTTTCTTCCTAACATAAATTCCTTTATTTTTTGCTAAAATTATCAATTACCAATTTTTTACATGTAACTCGAAACATTTCATAGAAAGACATTTCATAGCAAGAAATTTCATAGAAAGACATTTCATAGAAAGACATTTCATAGACAAGACATTTCATAGAAAGACATTTTATAGACAAATCATTTCATAGACAAGACATTTCATAGATAAGACATTTCATAGATAAAGACATTTCATTGACAGATTTTTTTACAAATGATATTTTTTTTCTTTTCATCCTCATATTTTTCTTAGCCTATGAAAAATCTTCTATCATTTCACTTAAGCATTTACATTCAACAAAAGCACAATTAGTGAAAAACTTTTAAATGGTGATGTATTTTCATGTGTTTCATAATATCTTCATAATTAGTTTGTCTTCACAACTTATAAGGACTAATTTCTTCAATCCAGGTATAAATCCTAGGGATTTCTGGATCCACAATTTACTCCTCTGAGGATCAGCTTCTCCTGGACCCTGACAATCTCCTTCTGTTGAACCTACTGCATCAAGATCATCTCGTTCTTCAAATGACTCTACAACATGTCTGAAGAACTGTCTATAAAGAGCAGCATCTCCTGTATCCAGATCTTCTGGTTCTTCTGCCGACTTTAAATTAGGTCTGTGAAGAGCTGCCTATAAAGAGCAGAATCTCCTGCATCAAGATCCTCTCTCTCTTCTGCTGGACTTACAAAAGGTCTGTAGAGAGCTGCTTGGCACGGAGTAGCATCTCCAGCCTCAGAATCATCTTCTCTGAACCTACAACAGGTCTCTCTGGTCTGACACAGAATCTCCATATCTGGAAACCTCCTGGTCTCTCAATCATATCTGGAGGTCAGTATACTCTAATTATATCTGGAGGTCAGTATACTCTATCATCGTATGTCCTCATGATCTCTTCTTCTCCTGGAGTCATAGGTCTGGCTGGATTGTCTAGCTGCTCCTAATCACCAGGAAGATCGGATCCTTGCATATAGAAAAAAAAGCAGCATCTGATATGTTCTGGTTTTAGTTGGACTGGCCAGTACGGTTACTATTGGAACAGCTATGGAAACCAACAGAGAAGAATCCCTTGGTGATGCTGAGGATTCCGAGGATGCATATTCAGGTATAATGATGGGATAGGAGGCATGGTGGCCTCCTTTGTTCTCTGGCAGGTAAGTATAAGATTCATCTATCGATAGCCGTATAAAGGTGTTGTTGTAAAATTAAGGTAAACTCTACGTCTGTACGGTTCAAAGGTTCGGGGTGCACTGCTTTAATTTCTAGATTTTATGTTCTGCCATGACTCACAGAAAGGGAGGAGTTTAGTCTAAAATAGCCATGCGCTAAATATTACAATGGACAGAAAAATTTTCAGATAAAAAAGTTCAATTTTAAGTTCTTAGAAACATTAAAACACTGTTATAATATTTAATGCTTTTTTATGTCCCATATATTAAATGTTTTAAAAAACATAGAAAGATAAGTACCAACCTTCTTGAAGTTAAATCCATAGCCTTTATTTTAGATTCAGTTATATAAAACATCAATGCTGGAGGGCCCAGAGCTCTGCAGGTTTTCCCCCTTTCATTACAAATAATTATAAATTTGTGTCAAACCTAATATGGCAGTTACTTTTGCCATAAAAACTTTTGCCATAATAACACCATAAATACGTTTGACAAAAGTTACACAAGTCATAATTACTTTTGCCATAATTTTCAAAATTTTAACTATTTTTTCTATATATGCGATAAATTTTCTCATGAAAGTGTTACTTATGGCAAGTGTTACTTATGGGAAGTGTAATTATGGCAAATGTATTTATGGCTTAAGTATTATGGCAAATATACCTAGCCCCTAATAGAAGGATTTTATCTGAATAAAAATGGAAAACTCATTATTTTTGTCATCAAAGGAAGACGCACAGGAATGCCCATAATTTTGTTGGCAAATCTTCTGAGTTGGACCAAAATATTAACAAAAGAATGTTAATTTGGTTCATTTGTGCTTTTGTCTTTGCCATAAGCAAAATGTTATTAAAGAAGCTGAGTTCTTGCCACAAACTCTGATGTTATAATCCCAATATTATTACAATCCAATATTGTAGGCCTTTGTTATTTCCAAAATCAATTTCCTTAAACCAAATATTCTAAATTTGAAATATCAAAGATTTACACCATCAAGGACCAGTTTATAATGCCATCATGGTGTTTTATCTGAATTTCAAAATATTTAAGACTTCTGAAATCGAGTGTTATGGCCAGAAAACCAAACAACAAGGAATGTTATTATTAAATACTAGTCCAAAAAATAAACCAAAATAAGAGTCAGTCCAAACCCCACTTCAAGCAAAATAATGATTTTACTTAAGGAACAAACTGTAAGAAGTAAAGAAAAGTTTACTTACCCTGCCTCTTGAATGAACCCCATCTTGCACATGCATTTATACCCACCCTTGGTATTCAAGCACAGCTGAGGACAAGAGGAAGTAGAGTCACATTCATTCACATCCTCACAGATAACAGTTCCATTCACCTTAACAGTATCAAATTAACAATTTTAGAGGGTCACATAGAACCTATACTTAAAAAACGCTCGATTGCAGCAAAAGTTGCATAACTGCCAATAAAGAGACGCAAAATGCATAAATCAAGAAAAAAAAGCTCATTGAGCACTAAGCAGGCATTCAAACAACTTTTGATGCCAAATAAAGAATTTAATTCGAAGGTAGAGTTCTAAAACCTATTGTCCATGGTTACAGTCAGTTTTCAGATGGACAAATAAGGTGGATATAGTTAATTCCGGAGCAGACAAAGATTATCAAGCTGTACAGTTGAGATTCACAGGTGTGCATCTGTAGACAATAAGGTGGATATAGTTAATTCCGGAGCAGACAAAGATTATCAAGCTGTAAAGTTGTGATTCAGTTACAGGTGTGCATCTGTAGACAATAAGGATTATGTCTCAAGTCCCTATTGAGTTCGATCTCTTCTTTCTTCAATTCTTTATTTCTCAACAATTTTAAACGAAAGTGTATTATCCAATGGGTAAGAATATATAAGCTCAAGTGATCCTCTTAAAAAAGATTTCACCACTTCTAATATAAGTAATCAAAGTAATCAATTTTTGGCTGGACAAATGAGAAGAGATTTCTTTAATTCTGAAGCAGGCAAAGGTTGTGAGGGTACCTTTGTGAATCGAACAACAGACATATCACTATGGAAATAGAGGATTATGTCTCCACTCCTCTCAATAACAGAACTATTTGTTGAAGCTTGGAAATTGGTGTGGGTTGTTCATGCAATTTATGCCATATCCTTCTATCTTAAGTTTTTTATCTATATAATAAAACAAGACCTTCCTATGTATGTTCCCTATAGCTTGATGGACCGAATTGGCTGACATTTTTTGAGGACACTCATGGGTAGCCTGGGGGTGACATAAGGATAGTCTAGTCAATTTTTTTAACAAAATAATTTATCAAAATATTTTTTTTCTTCCATGGGCAATGCTGAGCTAGTTACTTAGTAATCTAGAACAAAATTGTATCGGACTTCTAGGGATATTTTACTTCCATACTTTAAATTCAAAGGGACTTAATAATTTTGTATAATCCAATGAGTAAGCTCAAAATAAGTATAATGCTTTACGCTTACCACTTTAGCAAGGAATCCTGGCGAACATGTACAAACAGCTCCATGTGGGGTGGGATGACAGACATGAGGACAATCTCCGTTCTTAGTCTCACAAACCTAAACATGGAAGAAAAGTTAAGTCAGGGTTTAGTTTTCTAGCCCGGTAACATCAGAAACCTTAGTTAGGACAATGATGTTGGATTACATTATATGTATAAATGCACAAACCCTAAAAAGGAAACCACCCAGTCTCTTAAATTATTTGGTTTGTTAAAAAAGTTTAGAAAATAAAAATCAGGGCATACTATTTCTTTAAAACATGGATCAGCATTAAATACCAAAAATCTTTATCTTTTATTACAAAAAAGGGAGATAAAGGGCTTCTAAAAACACATCGAGCTAGATTTTGTGTTATTTCTAATCGTAAGAGCAATTATGCTCAATGATGCTTATTATGATAGCATTGATTCTACCAATACTCAAGTAAAAATAGATTTAAGGAAAACTACCTTGCACTGAGATTCAGATTCATCACTTCCATCATCACAGTGTGGATATCCATCACAAGCATTGGATAGATCAATACAATCTCCAGTGCTGAAACATTAATAAACAGGGGATAGATAAATACAATCTCCAGTGCTGAAAACATTTATAAACAGGGGATAGATCAATACAATCTCCAGTGCTTAAAACATTAATAAACAGGGGATAGATCAATACAATCTCCAGTGCTTAAAACATTAATAAACAGGGGATAGATCAATACAATCTCCAGTGCTTAACACATTAATAAACAGGGGATAGATCAATACAATCTCCAGTGCTTAAAACATTAATAAACAGGGGATAGATCAATACAATCTCCAGTGCTTAGAACATTAATAAACAGGGGATAGATCAATACAATCTCCAGTGCTTAAAACATTAATAAACAGGGGATAGATCAATACAATCTCCAGTGCTTAAAACATTTATTAACAGGGGATAGATCTATACAATTTCCAGTGCTGAAAACATTAATAAACAGGGGATAGATCAATACAATCTCCAGTGCTGAAAACATTTATAAACAGGGGATAGATCAATACAATCTCCAGTGCTAAAACATTAATAAACAGGGGATAGATCAATTCAATCTCCAGTGTTGCAAAATCTAGTTAATTAGCCAAAAATATACTAAAAATTGGACGAAATATTATAGTTTACATATTTTAAAAAAGCCCTCGACCCAACAAATCCAATCGTGCAAAATATTTGCGAAAATTTTATAAGCTAATTGTGTATTCAGCAATAACTGAAAATGATCATATTCCCATTGAAGCCGTATTTGCAAAATTATCTACAATCTGCTTCCTTTTAAGTTAAAGACTCTCAAAAGAGCTGAAAGAAAACTTTCTTTGGATCAAAATTTTAGGATGCTTTTGGAAGTTACAAATTAGGAATTTTTAATGCATCTGCCTTACTTTCGTAGTCGACCTGAGAACACGCCTTCATTTCAAATCCAAGGTAAAATAAAAAACAATGGGTATATATACCAATTGATGAGTATAAAGCTATGTCAGCCAAAGCACTGATCGTAAAGTTGATAAAAAAGAGCATACAAGACAAGCAAGATGTAGATGAAATAAAACTTGAAGCTTTCCTCACTTGCATTTGAACTGTGACTCCAGGCAAGATGATGAGATTGATATTCCACAATCTTGTTCATCACTACCATCATTACAATCAACATCACGGTCACACCTCCACTCTTTACTGATACATTTCTACAAATAATAGATTAATAACAATACAGATAGAACACACGAGATAGTCTTTTCAAGATTTAGGGATTTTTCGTTCAAAATAACACTGAGGCAAGAGCATCAAGAAGTTTTGCGAATTAAAAGACCGAGAGAGAGCCTGTTTTAACCTCCTTTGGGCTTCTGCCTAAGGGTTCTTGGGAATGAAAACATTTAAATCTTAAAACGACATATAGTGTTATCTGTATTGTTATTAATCTATGAATATGAGAAACATTTTAGAAAGTTTTCAGATATTATACAATTAAGCGCAGTAAATATTTTCAATGAAATTTTTTCAGAAATGACAGAACTGAAAATTTATGTTATAGAAACATAAAGAATATTTTAAAATTTAACACATTAAAGCCATCTTTCACAATCCACATTGATAAGATAAAGGTTTGAAGGGTAACAGTGAGTCGTGGACAGTCCTTTAACCCTATTCCTATACTAAGGACCTAGAAAACCAGGATACGCTTTTGACCCCCTCCTCAAAAAGCGGTAGAGGATACGCTTTTGACCCCCTCCTCAAAAACGGTAGTTTTTTTCATAAGATTTGGAAAAACATATTTATGAAGAGTTGAGAAATTTTATAAAAGAGGGGGGGGGGGTTATGATTAATATCAGGAAAAGAGAATCCTAATTCTTTAAAGGATTTGAAAATTACGGGTATTAATTCATTACAGCAAAAATATCTTAATATCTGGAAGCTATGAAAAAGTAAAGAAATCTGAGGCCGGATTAAAAGAATTTGTGCAGTGTCTCAAATTTGAGACGAGGCTCAAACATGGTTGGTTCCACTTGAGATTGTATTCAGTGTTATGAGATTTGAGCCGGTGGGGTACCGGTTTTAGTCGGTCCAGCGACACAATTCTTTAAATTCGGCCTCAGAAAGCATGGCATAGAAATTTAAAGAACTTGATCCTACCAGTCCATCATGACAACGCCAGGTATCACTTGTACAGATATCACAGTTTTCTTCATCTGATTCATCCAGGCACTCAACTGTACCATTACATCTAAACACCATTAAGTTAATTATGCAAAATTAATTTTAACTGCAAATTTATGGTTGTCCAGCGAAGATGCACGTTGCGCCATGTCAACATAAATTTTCCTGCAAAACTACACAAATTGGAAGCAAATATGCAAAAATTGTGTAAAATGACATCTATGAAAATTGTATGCAAATACAAGAAATTCTAGAATAATGCAAATTTATAGCTGCATTCTTTCATTAAAGTCCTCAGTACCCTTAACATGAGTATCTGAAATAAGTCATAAAATCAAGAAATAATCTTTTCAGGGTTGGTCTGTTATCGAAATTTTAAGTGACCCTCCTTGCGAAGATGTTAATACCCGATTTACAACAGTGCCCTTATCAGTGCATTATCTAGCTGATCAAGTATGAATTCGATATCAATGATTTTCGCTGAAAACTTTAGATCCCGATCAGGAGAACAAGCATTACTTAATCTCGAGATTAAAAAAAAGAGTGGATCAAGCATAAATCCAGTTATCCACCCTTCAAAACTTCCCAGCTTTGGTTTCTCTAAACTATTCGCAGATTCCAATGACTTCCACATTTATTGCTTTTAAGAAGTACTGGAAAAATGATTAGAACTCACTTTTAGTGAAAAAAACGACAGTATCCTTTAGATTTTTATCAGATAAAGGTTTCCAGGGTAAAGTAGTAAATCGGGAACATCTTTGTTTGAAATTACGCTTTCAGTCCCTTTATGTGAATAAGTAGAATAAGAGAAAATTATTCTCACCTACTCCTTATTGGAAGACACTGGGAACCACAGAGAAACCCATCACAGTTTGGTTTTACAACAACTTCTTCTTTGTAATCACAGAACCCAGGTTCTTCATCACTTTCATCTCCACAATCATTCTAACAATAAACTCCACAATCATACTTACCAATATTGTTATTGTTACAGGTTATGAGAACAATTTTACTTAAAGGTCCCCCACTTCCAATAAAGAAACCTTACTTCTAGTTGAAAACTCCCTTCTTCTGGTTGCAAACTTCCTACATCTGGTTGCAAACTCTCTATTTCTTTGTTGCAAACTCCCTTCTTCTGGATGCAAGGTCCCTTCTTTTGGGATTGCAAGCTCCCTACTTCTGGTTGCAAGCTACCTACTTCTGGTTGCAAGCTCCCTACTTCTGGTTGCAAGCTCCCTACTTCCGGTTGCAAGCTCCCTACTTCTGGTTGCAAGCTCTCTACTTCTGGTTGCAAACTCCCTACTTCCGGTTGCAAACTCCCTACTTCTGGTCGCAAACTCCCTACTTCTGCAGGTAGCTTACTCCTTACTTCTGGTAACAAACTTCCTACCTCTGGTTGCAAGCTCCCTGCTTCTGGTTGCAAGCTCCCTGCTTCTGGTTGCAAGCTCCCTACTTCTGGTTGTAAACTCACTGCTTCTGGTTGCAAACACCGTACTTCTGGTTGCAAACTTCCTACTTCTAGTTGCAAACTTTCTACTTCTGGTTGCAAACTCCCTGCTTCTGAATGCAAACTTCCTACTTCTAGTTGCAAACTCTCTGCTTCAAATTGGAAACGCATTACTTCAGATCGGAAATGGCCGACTTCATATAGAAGAAGGCCTACTACGAATTTTAGATGCCATACTTTCATCGGGTTAGTCAATAATCATTGATAAAATTGTCTATTTAAGATACGAGATAAAAATAAAGAATATACCTCTTTATCACAAACCAGATCCATAGATATACAGGCTTGGTTGTCACACTTAAAATGTCCATCTTGACAATTACCAGACAGAGCTGGGCATTTTTCTTCATCACTGCCATCCTCACAATCCCTTCTTCCGTCACATACCCAACCTTCCTTAAATATAATTAAAGATAACATTTTAACAGCACTGAACTAGGTTAATATTTGCTTGGGTTTTTTCCTCTCTAACATAGATTTACAAAAAGATGCACACATGCCCCCCCACACACACCCAATCATGCAACTTCTTATCAGTTAATACCGTATTAACATTTAATCCTCTTTTAAAGGAAGTCAATAGTTTAATATGTGAATTAATTTACCTGAATACATTTTATACCATTCTGACAAGAAAATTTACCAGGGCCACATGTCAAACCAGTGCAATTTTTTTCATCAGATCCATCCTTAAAAAGATAAGTTTGCCAATTTTAATTTGATTGCCAATCATAATGTCAATTTAATGTTCTTACTGCACAATCGTTTACGCCGTCACACTTCCATAATTTCAGTACACATTTCTTTCCATCATCACAGAGCATGTTGAATTCCTAAACATTTTGAAGTTATATTCCAAGTTGAGTCACCAACTTTTTAAAAAATTTAGGCTTTGATTTCTAGTTCATCATAAGTAGGGTTTCCAGCGAAAATTGTAAATCGTTCAGCAAAAATTTCTTATTTTTTTGATTTTTGATTTCGTTTGATTGAAACAGAAGTGAAAATTTTCGCTTTTTTGCGGAAGTTCACTTCAACCTGCTTGCAAAAAAAACATGATTTTCGCGAAAAAATAAAGTTAAAAATTTCTTAAGAAGCGAAGGCGGACATTTCACAGATTTCATAAAAAAAAATTTGAAAGGTAGAATTTAGTTTCAGGCAAATTTTTGAAAATTCAATCAACCATACCATCCCTGGGGTCACTTGAGGTTAGGGTTTCCACCGGAATTCCGGGTTACGGTTTACGTACGGAAATGATCCGGAAATTTTTTCCATTTCCATTATGGAAAAGGTTCTGGAAAACCGGAATTCCGGAACGATTTTTTCCCCGTAAAACGGAAATTTCCGGAACGTTGTTCTGGAATTACGGATCATTCCGGAATATCGTTCCGGAAATTTTCCGGAAAATCGTTCCGGAAATTTCCGGTTTCCGGAACATTTGGTACCAGAATTACATTAAAGTCTTACATATGTAAATACAACACCAGTTAGTAACACTAACAATATATGGATGGATGCCATACGGTAGAAAAAGTTATGCTCAATAATCAATATTCAAAGTTACTATAGTGTTTCCGGTTTACGGAATGGAAATTTACCGGTTTACGTTACGTAAACCATAAAAATTTCCAGTTTACGGAATGGAAACCGGAAATTTTTCCGGTTTACGAAATGGAAACTGGAAATTTTCTGGTTTCCATTCCGTAAAACGGAAATTTTTGAGGGAAACCGGAAAATTTCCGGTTTCCATTTATACCGGAATTATCCTTGAATTCCGGTTAACGCAACAAATTTCCGGATCATTCCATTTCCAAAATGGAAATTTTTTTCCGGAAAAATGGAAACCCTACTTGAGGTCCAACACAAAATTTAGGCCCGATCGTTCAGCCGTTTAACGTTTATTGGATACAAACAAACAGACAATCAATGAATTTTTTTTTTACTAGGCTTTTTGGGCGCTTCATGTTCATTTTCTTTTTCAGTTGTGAACATGTTATCTGTGTGTACATTGTAAAACAAAACAAAAAATTTTGCGGATTTTATAAAAATAAATTTGGTGGATTTCAAAATTTTCAAAAATTGGAATTTGTTAAAGGCAAAATTTGAAATTTTGATCATTCATAACTCTTCCCTGGGGTCATTGAGGTCTCAAAAAAAATTTGGACCCAATCGGTTCAGCTGTTTTGACATTTATTGGAACAGACAAATGAACTGACAGACAAACAAATTATAGATAAATATAAATGATAAAACTTAGCTCTGAGAATTTCACAAGTTTTTTTGCGCAATTAATTGTGGCAGCTACAACAATTTTGTGAAAACTATTTGCAAAATTTTGCAGAGTTTCTTATATTTCGCTTAATTCATTTGCACGGAAAAGAGAAATTTAGCAAAAAAGTTTGTGAACATGTGCGCATTATTTTTGCGAAAGTTTTTGTTTGCTGGAAACCCTAATCAATTTGTGTAAGTACAATGATAAAATATGTTAACAGAGTAAATACCACAATTTGCCCTTTGCAGTTAATTTGGCACGAAAAGTGTGTACAAATCCTGACTAACCTGATCACATGTTAATGGAGGACAATCTATCTCATCTGAACCATCATTACAGTCACTGTCCATATCACACTTCCAGGACTTATCAATGCATGATCCATCTGAACACCTGAAAATCAAAATTATTGTGAAACCATGATGTGGAATTTCAGCTGATGAATGATTAACTTACGTAAATAGATCATCTGAATTGCAGGTAGTTGTTTGAGTGCAATTATTCTCATCCATCCCATTAAGACAGTCAATGGAACCATCACACACCCAGGACTTGTGCACACATCTGTTTTTGGAGTCACCACAAGGAAACATCCCACCAGGACAATTTGTCTAAATTTTTCCTGATTTTTTCATGTTTTAAAATTTGTCTAACAAGTTAAAAACATTAACTGGCTTTAAAAGTTAGCTTATACCATTCATTGCATCTCCATATTTAAACTGAAGGATAGTAGGGGGGAGGGGGTGGTACACTGTATTGTGATCTTTAAACCCCCTAGCTTTTTAATCATACATTGACTGGGAATAGGGTTTCCAGTCGTAATTACGTTACGTGTAATTACGCGTAACACTTTCTTTCACTTATGCAGGAGCATTACATGTAATTACACAATTATTATGTTTACGAAAGAAAGTCTAGTTTCGCTTGATTAAGGCGTAATTACGCGAAATTACATAATACAAAACAATTCCATAATAAATAAAGTACATATTAATTCTCATAAACAATTATAGCGGGACAGTATGTAATCCACCCCCCGCCCTTCTCCTATTCTTTCCTGCTGACCTACCCCCCTCGTCTTCTATTCATTCCTGCTCATCCAACCACCCCCTCTCTCTTCTCATTTCCTCTCGTGTGTGCCTGTGAAATGTGAAAATTACATCAACATATATTCAACTTGCGTGACATTATTTTCCTTGTAAGTTAGTTGTTCTATTGAAATTAAAAGTTAAAACTTCAAAATTTCATAGACGTAATTATTGCAAAATTTTGCAAAATTACTTTGTAGAAATTACGCGAAATTGAAGTTTCGCTAATTATGCGTAATTAATACAAAATTTTGCAAAATTTCCTTGTAGAAATTATGCGAAATTAGGCCGTAATTATGCGTAATTATACTTTCGCTTATTACGCATAATCATTACAAAATTTCGCAAAATTACGCCGTAATTTTGCGAAATGGATATTTCCCCAATTACGCGAAATCCTTCAAAATTACACGGAATGAAAATTATTACGCCTAAATGCACGTAATTACGCGTAAGAGAATAGTCTGTTACGTTGGAAACCCTACTAGGGAAATGGCATTCTAGAACGCAGGGGTAAGTTCATTGTAGAACCCTAAATAAATTACCACTAAGATACGGAATTAATTTTTAAATAACTGGAGATGATTGAAGCATAAATGATAAAAACTGAAACATGCATTATGCTAGTTTATTTTAATCACATTTCATGAAACTCCAGGAGATCATACCTGACAAGTTTTCAAATCAGATGTGAGCTCATGCCCTGTTTCACAACTACACTTTGCCTTTCCATTGATCACAAAGCAAAGTTGTTCACATCCAGCAATGGTACAGGGGTAACTGACATTCTGAAAAGGACATATAAAAAAAATGATTTTAAAAAAGTATTCAATAGAAAACTTGCCTTGTACAGATCAGAGTTATTCAAGGAGACAGATAGATGGACAAGATTCTTAGGGGAGAGAGATATTTCAGACAATGACATCCAAGCCACTGTTGATAGTGTTGCTGACCTAAAATAAAGACAAAAGCATTTTATCTTTATTACCTCAGATATGATCAATCTTACCTGTCAAATCTCACCCAGAAAAGATCATAGCCTGTTAGTTGAGTCCAATACAAGTATCCATCAAAAACTGCCATACTGACCAAACTGGTTATCCCAGACAAGAAAATGGATAAATCACGAGTAGCAAGATTGAATAGGTGAACTGTCTTAGCCGTGTTATCTCCCAAAATCAGGGTATCATTAGCCTCCTGATAGACCATTAGGTGGACGGATTTGGGAATATTATCACTTACAATGTAACTTTGCTTGCCATGAGGAAAGGCAGAAACAAGCTTTGACTCTTCTAGGAAGTATAGCTCTTGCCTTTTATTACAGAATACTAGAGCCCTAGGATTTATCAGATGTTCAAAAATAACCCTAGTGAAGCCAGTTGTTAAGCTTTGAACCATGATTGCTTTTCTCAGGGGGTCAATCCAGTACATATTTTCATTAATAGCATCTATTTGAAGATGCAAGATGTTGGCCAGGAAAGGTTTTTTTATTACATCCTTGTTCTTAATACCAAATTGATAGACAACTTGCTCAAATCCTGAATAGGCAAATATATCGCCAGTTTTAGAATTAGTGGTTAGACTTTCAATTTGACTTTTGGCTTCACCAACATATTCAAATGAGGATTTTGTGAGCTTGTGGGGCTTTAGGGTGAAAATCTTGTCCTCGACAAAAACTACCAATGCATTTGTGGTGCTAGATTTGCATGTGCGTCTATCAGTTTGGAGCACCATGTCTGCAGGGCAAGCACATGTGATTTTTCCTTCCGTGGCTGATACTGACTTAGGCTTTGGCAAGCAGAGATGAGAGCATTGATGACCTTTACAGGGATTGTTACTGTTTGCGCCTACTAAAGGGTGGTATGCAGAGATACCCATTATCTTCATACCCATCTCCTTAATGATAATTTCTTTGTTCTTTCCCGTGAATTTGTTGCAACTCATGAGCATGCCTCCAGTCCAGTCTGACCAATATAGGGTGTCTTCAAAGATGGCAAGACTAAAAGGATGCAGCATGTCAATTTCTTGCAGAACTACTCTTCTAAACAGTTAAAAGCTTATAGGATTCTTCATTTTAGATTATCTAATACTAAGATAATTAACTTATTACATGTTTACCGAGTAAATTTGTTAATAGGAAATTGTTTAAACTTTTCAACTACTTGCTAATGTAACCCCCCCCCCACCCCTCCCAACCATGAAAGAAATTTTACTGAAAAGCAGAAACAATTAGAATTAAGATAGGTTTGTCAGCAGCAAATTCTGGCACATGTTGGCAAAAACTTATTTTGTAAAAGCTTAAAATTTTAAACTTTCATTCCTATCATTTCCATTAATATCAGCACTTTCCAGGATATCCAGCTTTGCATCCGACCAGTAAATCCTGTCTGATATTTGATCAATGGCCACCCCATTGGGCCAGTGAAGCTTGTTCGTGATAAGATTTTTCCTGTTTGATCCATCCAATCCTATCCTTACTATCATAGGGTTTTTCCCCCAGTCTGAGTAAAAGAGTACTTTCTCCCGATTATGGATTGCCAATCCTCTGGGGTTCTCATTTTCAGCCTCAATGATAGCACAAATTGACCCGTCTAGTTTGCATACAACAATATGACCTAAAATTGGAGAAATTCTTATTTTGTTCTACCTAATTTACAAAAAGGAAAAAATACCTTTCTGAGAATCTGAAAAGTAGAAATTTCTTCCTACTTCATCAACAACAATATCTTCAGGCATGTCCAACCCTCCTTTCAACAAAAGCTTGCGATCAAGACCATTAGTCTTGATGGACTCAATCTGCTCTTTACCAATACTAAATATACAGAAAAGGTTCAACCCTGTTGAAAGCTAACCATGGAAAAATGTGAACAAGATGTGAAGGTTAAACTTATCTTTTTTTTTAACTAAGAACAAATATACTCAAAAAGCAATGACACTGGAAGCCTTTAAGAGTAAAGCATGAAGAGCCTTGAAAAGTGAACATAAAAAGCACTGATACAAACAGAGCCAAATTCAAAACTTTGAAACGGAATGATTGTGACAAAGAGTAAAAAGGAATGAAAAGTTCAGCTGAAAATTTATCAAGAATTATTTTACCTAACATCAGTCCAGTAAACTTTATCCTCAACTCCATCATATCCTACTCCAATAACATGGTTAAGGTTTTCCACTATAGACCTAGAAAAAAGATGGATTGAGCAATTGCAACAATGTTTCAACAATGCATATTGAGATAGTTGTTTTGGGAGCAAAAAGTTATTTTTTGGCAGGTTTTGGTTAGTGTTTATTTTAGGATTCAGATCCAATGCCCAAATACCCATTTCATGAGGAATAAACAAAGACCCAGCAAAAAATATTACTAGAAAATTTGCCTACTTATAAATATTCTTCCTAGTATTGTAGCTTCTTATAGAGTTTTCAGTAGATAAGTAGATAATTACATCTGCCTCAGCCACTCGGCAGGAACCATTGATCATCTTGTAACCATCAGTACAGCTACAGGTGTAGTTGGTGTAGGTATTAACACATATCTGGCTACATTTACCATACTCCTGTAATTTTTTTAATCGATGGCATTCTTGAATAATTGATCCAAGAGCAGAAATTGTAATTAAAATTGTATTTAAAAACCCACTGACTGAAGACTGGTAGCTGGTAGGTCTACTTCAAAAACTTACCCCTAAAGGGAGTGACCAGCAATGTATTGTGGTTGAACTGAAGATGTAGTTTTGTGGAAATTTGTTTAAGAAATCATTTGAGACGTAGAAAACGCTTCTCCGACATAATTAAAATTTTTGAGCAGTCTGTTAAAAATTATCAATTTGGGGGATCACTTTTTCAGAATTGTTTTTTTTATCAAATTATAAAATACAACAAAAAATGTAACAAAATCCTAGATGTCTAGGAAGATGTTGAGAAAATAAAAACTAACCCTTATCATCAAAAAAAAGTTATCTTCAGTTATTAGTTTCTGTAATCTCTCATTCTTCACTGATTTCCTGGATTTTTTTAAAGGACAAAATTCACTGAATTTGAATAAATCAGTCAACAAATTCAGAAAAAATAAGAAATTTATTATTACAAAATAATTTGTTCTAAAATTGATTTGACAAATTTCTTTTAAGAAATACGTTCCTAAACATCTAATTAGTTTACTGTGGAATTTGTGTTACATTTTTGTCATAGACATTTAATAATAAAAAAAAATTGATTCTCAAGTTGTACTCAAATTGATGATTTTGAACATCAACTTTAAGCTGAAACTCAGTAATTATACATTGTGGAAATGTTTTATATATCTGAAATGATTCCTAAATTTTTTTTCAACAATACTACATTTTCAGTTCAACTACCATACATTGCCAGTCATTCCCATTAAAACCCCTGAGAAGGATGATCAAGATACCATTGTTTCTCTGTCTAAAAAGCTTAAGATTCTTACAATTAAAAACACCATACATCCCCTGGTCCCATGCAGCACGAAAATAATCTGTTTCCAGCTTGAAAACGAGGATATGTCATTCTTCCTGATTATCTCATCAGAATGAATTATAATAATGATCAGAAAAAGGTTTAAAGGATACTGATGAAAATCAAACATGTCACTAATAAAGTGGGAAGGAACCAGGAATTATGTCTATACAAAAATAAATGGCATGGACGTTAATTTAATAAAATTAAAATTCTTTGATGATTACCTTACACTCATCAATATCAAGGCAGTCATGACCCGACTCAGACAAAGTTAATCCTTCTGGACAAAAGCAGCTGAAAAAGGATAGTTTTACTTAACCCTACCCCAGTTGGGAAGGGTTTTGATTCCCTCTTTTGGGTTTCCTAGATAATTAAAAAAACTTCTTCCTTCAACAGTAATAACTAATTTTGAGAAAATATATATTATTAAAGAATGAGGTTGGTAAGGGGATGGGGGGGTTAAGGTCAACTTATTATAGTGGTTCTTTCATTTAGAAGTTACCTGGGACCTTGAGGTGATTCTATACATTGATGAGAACAAGGCAAACTTGAGCAACCGGGTTTTTTACAGAATTCACCTAATTTGACCATTTTTATGATTAATTGGAGTGAACCATCGTTATCAAGGACAAAATTTAATGAATTGGAGGGATTAATGAACTACCAATCACAACAGATTTACTTTCCAATCAATCAATTACCTAAACCCTGAAGAGTTTTTATTTTTTTAATTGATAATTAAGGATGTGAACCAGAGCTATACTAGCTTCTTGCATTTAATGAGTTTACATCAGTTATTCAAATTTGAACCAGAGAAAGGTAGTTCAGTAAATTCTTGCAACTTATTGAATATTTAAGGTTTTTCATTTGCCTCAGTGAACATCAAAATATTTGGATTTATATACCAACAAATTATCAAGGACTCAGCAACCAATACTGTAATGATTTATATATGATGATCACTGAAGAAAACTATAAATAATAAGTAATAGATAAAAGGTATAACCTTCATCTTCTCTGTTTGGACATTGAGGTATATTATCACAAACATGCTTAACATCCAGACATCTAAACACAGATAGTTTTGTTTATCATTATACTACAAAAGATAAAAATTTGAAGCAATGTAAACAATAAAAATCATGTTAAAGGGGTTGTAAACAGTATGATTATAAAGGCCATGTAACCTTTTTCGTTTAATATGGACTGTCGATAAAAATAAAAATGGTAGGTGCCTGATACATAACCATACTCATCAAACATTGATAAACGAGGAAGCAATATTCCGCCAAAAAGATTTGTTTAATGTACATAAATTTGAAAGTTAACTCAAAAAAAAACAAATTTCTAAAAACTGTTGCTTACAGATGTATTGCTTTAATTTCTCAACATGTAACCCTATAAATGGAGGGTCACTTGAAATAACATCAGCGCTATCTTCCAAACCTGAAACCAAACCATTTATTTTCTATTACCTGGCTAAAGTTTTATTACCGCATCTGAACAATCCCTTCTTTAAATCACAATCTTCTCTATAATCTCCACAGTGAGTTCCTTATAATTTAAAATAATTAAATCTCAAAAAAAAAAATTATGTAGGAATAAGTTTTAATTTTTAATTTTCAGCATATGGATTGTAATAAACCCTTAACACTAGAAAAATCGCAACCAAAATGGTGAAAAAAGAATTGCTACGACTTACCATATCTCCATTTTAATAGTAACAAAATCTAACCTTCATCCTTTCCATTTTTACAGTCCTTGGCACCATCACAAACCCATCTACAATAAGTATTGATTAATAAACTAAATAAGAATTGATCAACACAACAATTATGAATTAATCAACTATATAATAAAAAATCAACTCAATTGATATTAACTAAATCAACTTAATTAGTAGGAATTAATCAACTTAACTAGTAAAAACTAAATCAACTTACTTTATATAACTTATCTTACAGTTTTAATCAATCAAATTTATTAGTTTTAATAAATCAACTATAAAATCCTTATTAGACTTCCTTGATTAGTCACTCAACACACAGAAGTCATTAAACTCGAAAACTGAGATGCAAATATGAAACGACTGAACAATATATATAGTTTTATTGAAAAAGCTATCGTTTTAGTTTCTTATTTTTCTACGGATCGTTAACAAAACTTAAAGAACAACAAAAGTGAAAACGATCTGTCCCTACCTGTGAGGTATACAAATTCCAGGCTCACAAGTGAATTCCTTATCAGTGCAATTCTGCAATATTAGAAAATATTCAAAATTATTTTTTTAATCTATGTTTAGTGATCCTCGAGATCTTTAGAGGTTTCGATACAAACATTGATTTTCAAATGTTAAATTTCCATAAAAAACTTAAGAGGTTCTTAGAGTAATTTCAAGTGAACCTCCATGCAAGACAGGCAAATGTCTCATTTAAAATGGTACCCTTTAAAACTTTGACAAATCTAAAAGGACAGAGAAATCTGCGTGTTTATCTCTCTCGTTGTGTTTTCAAGTGTCCTTATATTCAAAGTGAGGGCAAACCCGATTTACGACGATAACCTTTAAACCTTCTAGATAAATCATGGTAGTTTTTCCATTTAAACACATTCAATTTCGTTTCTTATGTAACTTCTTTATGATTTCACAGCAAGGATGTCTAATATTTTTGCTTTGTCAAGGGTTTAAAAAGATACCACAGAGATCTCAAGGTAGTGTGTAATTTCATGTGACCCTCCATGCAAAGGTGACAATGCCTGATTCACAATGGTACCCTTAAAAGCCAAGTTTTATTACTTATCAAAGTTTCCAATTTTAAAAACTGATTATTTTCAATTGTTGTTTCTGGACAAAAGTGACATGTGAATTTTTACTGCAGGAAAACATAAGAGTTATAACAATTTACGCTTTTAAATCTAAAAACTACAATTTCTTTCACATTATTTATCATATAGATGTTTCAAGGGTACCATTGTAAGTCGGGCATTGGCATCTTTGCATTAAGAATATCTCAAAATTACGCTTACAGTCCCTTTAAAGCAGAGGGGTAACTTGAAATTACAATAACAGTCCCTTTAACCTTAATCTGTTGAACCGGGCAGTTTGCTGGAAGTTCATCATCACCATGAATACAGTCATCATGACCATCACACAACCATTCAGGGAGCATACAGAGACCCTCAGCACATCTGCAAATATACTCTTAACAGCAAATCATAACATTCTGATCAACATATCTAAATAAACAAAGACGACACAAGTACAAATATGCAAGGTTCATTAAGTCCTACAATTTTGTTTCATTTTTTGTTTTCCCTTTTAAACCAAAAAACGCCTTTTTGTTTTGAAACTAGACTTTACTTTTGGTTCCGTCGTTCTCAAACGATTTTTAATTTGTGTTTTAGTTTTAAATTTGAAATTAGTTAAACTTTATCAAAATACTTCCAAAAGTTTTGAAAATAAAAAACCATCGTTTTATTTTGAAAGCAAACTGTTTCCAAAATGAACACCAAACCGGAAAACAATATTTCAAGAAACGATGCCATTCCTACTTATCAGCCCTAGAAATATTTTCTTGGCATAATAAATAAGATGCTTACTTAAACTGTCCATTTGGGCAGGATACTTCTTCCCTTACAGCCGATTCAGTCTGAAACAAATGGAAAATGAAACATTAATTTTGTTTTTAAAGGTTTCTTTTAATACCTTGGTGCAGTTCTGTTCGTCGGAAAAATCAAAACAATCATCATGTCCATCACACACCCAGGCAGTGCTGAAAACACAAGAGTATTTTATATCATGTCCATCACACACCCAGGCAGTGCTGAAAACACAAGAGTATTTTATATCATGTCCATCACACACCCAGGCAGTGCTGAAAACAAGAGTATTTTATATCATGTCCATCACACACCCAGGCAGTGCTGAAAACACAAGAGTATTTTATATCATGTCCATCACACACCCCGGCAGTGCTGAAAACACAAGAGTATTTTATAAGTTATGAAGTTGCCATGATTTTTTTTGAGGAATATTATAGTTTTTTTTCTGGTAGACAAATTTATTTATGTTACAATGACCTACTATTGCTCAAGGATTATTCTGATTCAAAGACCTAAAATTTCCCAATACAATGACCTAATATTTCCCAATATAATGGCCTAATATTTCTTAATAAAATGACCTAATATTACCCAATACACTGACCTAATATTACCCAATACAATGACTTAATACTTCCTAATACAATGACCTAATATTTCATAATACAATGACCTAATATTTCCCAATACAATGAATAACCAATATTTCCCAATACAATGACCTAATGTTTTCCAATACAATAAACTTGCATTACATTCTAATATTGCCCAATACAATGATCTAATATTACCTAATACAATGACCTAATATTACATGATATAATAAACTAATATTATGTGATACAATGACCTAATATTACCTAATACAATGACCTAATACAATGACCTGATATTACCTAATACAATGCCCGTTCTTGCAATGAAAAGTTCCAGGTTCACAGAAATCTAAACAAGTTAAGTAAAGGGAAAAGGTTTAATGTGCGGAGCACATAAAATGGCATTTCTAATTCATATTAAACCATTTAAACCATTTGCTAGATATACTGTTAGCTCTTTAAACCTTTTTCTAGATAAATACCGTTAACTCTTTAAACTTTTTTCTAGATAAAATTTAACTCTTTAAACCTTTTTCTAGATAAATACTGTTAACTCTTTAAACCTGTTTCTAGATAAAGAGGCTCTTTAAACCTTTTTTGGGCCAAACAAATATAACTTTAAAATATTTGATTCTAAAGTGACTTGAGGAATTATTTTGCCAAAACTTGGACATCAAGATCAATTCTTAAAATTGAAAAGACAAACAAACGACGATCTTTTTTTAAAGGGTATCAACATATGACATGAACATCGTTAAATGAAGAGATGGTAAAAACGACGCCTGGATCCATTTAAAATGGCAGGAAATGGTAAATTGAAACTTACCACATACAGATTCATCTTCATTTAGAAAGCAGTCGTTGATTCCATCACATTTTTTAGAGAGGGGAAGACAAATCCCATCCAGGCACTTAAACTGGTTTTCTAAACATCTAATACACAACAATTATAACCTTGCCATATATATCTGTTACTGTATGACAAAGGTCTTCGATAACGAACATGACATATGAACAGGGTGTCTCATATCATATTAAATCGTTTAAAGCTCTAAACCTAGATCTAAAAAGAATATAATATAAAAATTTACTTGCAGAAAATGCCAGGTTTTTTTTTTTGAGTATTATGTGCGTAGTTTGGCGTTAAAGCTTGGAGATGATTTAATATAGAATGAGACGCTCTTAATCACTTTAGCAAAATTTCGATAATTTATTTGAAAAATCTTATTTTTGCGATATCGAGGATTTATAAAGCAGAAAGGTCAAAGGCTACAATCTGGCCTAAGGCTACAATCTTGTAAAAAAGACTACAATCTTGTGAAAAGGCTACAATCAGGTGTCAAAGGCGACAATCAGGTGTCTAAGTCTACACTCTGGCGTCAAAGGCTACAATCTGGTGTCAAAGGCAATAATCTGGTGTCAAAGGCAATAATCTGGTGTCAAAGGCAATAATCTGGTTTCAAAGGCAATAATCTGGTGTCAAAGGCTACAATCTGGTTTCAAATGCTACAATCTGGTGTCAAAGGCTACAATCTGGGGTCAAAGGTTACAATCTTGCCAAAGGCTACAATTTGGTCAAAGGCTACAATCTGGTCAAAGGCTACAACCTAGTCAAAGGCTACAGTCTGATAAAAGGCTCCAATCTTGTCAAAGGCTTCAATCTTGCCAAAGGCTCCAATCTTGCCAAAGGCTACAATCTTGCCAAAGGCTACAATCTGGTCAAAGGCTTCAATATAGTCAAAAGCTACATTCTTGGCAAAGGCTACATTCTTGTCAAAGGCTACATTCTTGTCAAAGGCTACATTCTTGTCAAAGGCTACATTCTTGTCAAAGGCTACATTCTTGTCAAAAGCTACATTCTTGTCAAAGGCTACAATCTGGTTGAAGGCTACATTCTTGTCAAAAGCTACATTCTTGACTCTTGTCAAAGGCTACAATCTGGTCAAAGGCTACATTCTTGTCAAAGGCTACAATCTTTTATTTTATGTTGTAACAAAGCAAAAAGTTTTACTTTAGCATCTTAATATTTCAGTTATTCAATGAAAATGGTCTGTTTATACTGCACAACTGCTTTGTTTAAGGTTCATGTTTAGACATTATAAGTCTTCCTAGTATGGACATCACTGTACAATGTTGATAACTGTTAAGTAAACTGGTTCTGTGCTGACAATTATTTGCTTATTTCATGTTCTTGGGAATATTCAAAGTAGTAATCTAAACCGTCTTCCTATTTCACAGTTTAATGGTATTCACTGCACAATCTTATTTCTACAATCATATTGAAAACTAGAATACTTTTACTTACGTTTTTGATGAATTATTAGATTTTCCAGTATTCTCTATCAAAGCTGCATTAGAGGAAACCAGTAGAAGGCCTAGCACGAAGAATACCCAGAGATCCAACATTCTTAGAGTTTAGGGATACTCTAGGTAAACCCCCTGAAACCTATATAATCTTTTATAATTGAAAAAGTATTAGGCTTAAAAAGAACTGCGAACTTCGCTTGATCTCAATATATCTACTATAGACGGTCCGTGGGGGGGGGGGGCAGCAGTCCATTACCCCCTCCCAAAGCATGGGTAAAGGTCGGCTTTACCTTCCTGATTTTATTTTCCTCAGTACAAATTGAAAATTAATAAATCTTTATTTGAACCAGAAACATTCAGCTTAAATGATAAAAATGCATGTGTTCTTAATGAATCTATGTAACCTTTAATTAAAGCAAATTTTAGATTTTAAATAGTTTTTATAGAATGGATTAAAAATCCTTCCTGGGGGGGGGGGGTAAAAATAAATTTCCGAGATTTGCGCAAATACACCTTGGAACCGTCCTAATTAACTGTGAAGGGCATTTTCGGATATTTGATTTGTTCCTCCCCTGGTCAAAGCTTCCTTCATTAGGTAAAAATACCATGCGGTATATCGAATAAAGAATAATTTAATTTTTATATTGAAATATACATTTATACAGTGGATATAGAGATCAAACGATCGGGATTATGAGTATCAAACACAAAAGTTCCAAGCTCTGATGGTTCTTATTTTTAAAATTCAAAATAGTAATGCAGAATTTTGGTCAACTTCTTTAACACGTCTGTAAACGCTAAATATATATTCACTTAAAGAACTCAGCTATTACAAATCAGGGTACTCAATGTATCACTATTGCGTACTGCATCGATTCCTTGAGGTCACTAACCTCTCTTTGTTTACATTTGATTGTTTACATTCGCGGAAAATACGTAAGAAATATTCAATCTTGATTGAAATATAATAAAATGTATTTTTTTTTGTTCACGTTAAAGAATAAATGGGGGGGGGGGTCATAATTTATGTTCTTTCTTTACAAGAAATGGAACAAAACTTAATTGCACTCTTTGTATGCTTTATATAAAAAGTTTTACAGATTTCGTTTTCGGCCTTTAATTATAGTCTTTTAATTTACTTTTAAATGGGCTGTACAGTACATGTAGAGTGTCGACGTAATTTTTAATGGACCCTCAATTTATAGGGTGGTATGTCCGAGTCACAAAGTATCGTTAAAAGATTTGTCTGATTTAGAATGGGTGAGATTCTCTAGGATGTTGGACTACCAGCAGGATGTAAGGTCCCTCCAAGATGTTGGACCACTCCAACAGGATGTATGGTCCCTCCAAGATGTTGGACCACTCCAACAGGATGTATGGTCCCTCCAAGATGTTGGACTACACTAGCAGAATGTAAGGTCCCTTCAAGATATTGGACTACACCAGCAGGGTGTATGGTCCCTCCAAGATGTTGGACAACTCCAACAGGATGTATGGTCCCTCCAAGATGTTGGACCACTCCAACAGGATGTATGGTCCCTCCAAGATGTTGGACTACACCAGCAGGGTGTATGGTCCCTCCAAGATGTTGGACCACTCCAACAGGATGTATGGTCCCTCCAAGATGTTGGACTACACCAGCAGGATGTAAGGTCCCTCCAAGATGTTGGACTACTCCAACAGGATGTATGGTCCCTCCAAGATGTTGGACTACACCAGCAGGGTGTAAGGTCCCTTCAAGATGTTGGACCACTCCAACAGGATGTATGGTCCCTCCAAGATGTTGGACTACACCAACAGGATGTATGGTCCCTCCAAGATGTTGGACTACACCAGCAGGATGTATGGTCCCTCCAAGATGTTGGACTACACCAGCAGGGTGTAAGGTCCCTTCAAGATGTTGGACTACACCAGCAGGATGTATGGTCTCTCCAAGATGTTGGACTACACCAGCAGGATGTGAGGTTCCTCCAAGATGTTGGACCACTCCATCAGGATGTGAGGTCCCTTCAGGGTGTTAAACTACCCCAGCAGGATGTGAGGTCCCTCCAGGATGTTGGACAACTCCAGCGGGATGTGAGGTCCCTCCAGGATGTTGGACTATCCCATTAGGATGTGAGGATCCTCCAGGATGTTAAACAACCCCAGTAGGATGTGAGGTCCCTCCAGGATGTTGGACCACTCTAGCAGGATGTGAGGTCCCTCCAGGATGTTGGACTACCCCAGCAGGATGTGAGGTCCCTCCAGGATGTTGGACTACACCAGCAGGATGTGAGGTCCCTCCAGGATGTTGGACTACCCCATCAGGATGTGAGGTCCCTCAAGGATGTTGGACTACTTCAGTAGGATGTGAGGTCCCTCCAAGATGTTGGACTACCCCAGTAGGATGTGAGGTCCCTTCAGGATGTTAAACTACCCCAGCAGGATGTGAGGTCCCTCCAGGATGTTGGACAACTCCAGCGGGATGTGAGGTCCCTCCAGAATGTTGGACCACTCCAGCAGGATGTTAGGTCCCGCCAGGATGTTGGACAACTCCAGCGGGATGTGAGGTTCCTCCAGAATGTTGGACCAATCCAGCAGGATGTGAGGTCCCTCTAGGATGTTGGACAACTCCAGCGGGATGTGAGGTCCCTCCAGAATGTTGGACCACTCTAGCAGGATGTGAGGTCCCTCCAGGATGTTGGACCACCCCAGTAGGATGTGAGGTCCCTCCAGGATGTTGGACTACCCCAGCAGGATGCGAGGTCCCTCCAGGATGTTGGACTACACCAGCAGGATGTGAGGTCCCTCCAGGATGTTAAACTACCCCAGCAGGATGTGAGGTCCCTCCAAGATGTTGGACCACTCCAGCAGGATGTGAAGTCCCTCCAAGATGTTGGACCACTCCAGCAGGATGTGAGGTCCCTCCAGGATGTTGGACCACTCCAGCAGGATGTGCAGTTCCTCAAAGATGTTGGACAACCCCAGCAGGATGTGAGGTCCCTCCAGGATGTTAGACCACTCCAGAAGGATGTGAAGTTCCTCCAGGATGTTGGACCACTCCAGCAGGATGTGAGGTCCCTCCTGGATGTTGGACTACCCCAGCAGGATGTGATGTCCCTCCAGGATGTTGGACCACTCTAGCAGGATGTGAGGTCCCTCCAGGATGTTGGACCACTTCAGCAGGATGCGAGGTCCCTCCAGGATGTTGCCACTTCAGTAGGATGTGAGGTCCCTCAAGGATGTTGGACCACTTCAGTAGGATGTGAGGTCCCTCCAGGATGTTGGACCACTTCAGTAGGATGTGAGGTCCCTCCAGGATGTTGGACCACTCTAGCAGGATGTGAGGTCCCTCCAGGATGTTGGACAACTCCAGCGGGATGTGAGGTCCCTCCAGGATGTTGGACTACCCCAGCAGGATGTGATGTCCCTCCAGGATGTTGGACCACTCTAGCAGGATGTGAGGTCCCTCCAGGATGTTGGACCACTTCAGCATGATGTGAGGTCCCTCCAGGATGTTGGACTACCCCAGTAGGATGTGAGGTCCCTCAAGGATGTTGGACCACTTCAGTAGGATGTGAGGTCCCTCCAGGATGTTGGACCACTTCAGTAGGATGTGAGGTCCCTCCAGGATGTTGGACCACTTCAGCAGGATGTGAGGTCCCTCCAGGATGTTGGACTACCCCAGTAGGATGTGAGGTCCCTCCAGGATGTTGGACCACTCTAGCAGGATGTGAGGTCCAGGATGTTGTACCACTTCAGTAGGATGTGAGGTCCCTCCAGGATGTTGGACCACTCCAGCAGGATGTGAGGTCCCTCCGGGATGTTGGACCACCCCATCAGTTTGTGAGGTCCCTCCATTATGTTGGACTACCCCATCAGGATGTGAGGTCCCTCAAGGATGTTGGACCACTTCAGTAGGATGTGAGGTCCCTCAAGGATGTTGGACCACTTCAGTAGGATGTGAGGTCCCTCAAGGATGTTGGACCACTTCAGTAGGATGTGAGGTCCCTCCAGGATGTTGGACCACTTCAGTAGGATGTGAGGTCCCTCCAGGATGTTGGACCACTCTAGCAGGATGTGAGGTCCCTCCAGGATTTTGGACTACCCCAGCAGGATGCGTGGTCCCTCCAGGATGTTGGACCACTCTAGCAGGATGTGAGGTACCTCCAGGATGTTGGACCACTTTAGCAGGATGTGAGGTCCCTCCAGGATGTTGGACCACTTCAGTGGGATGTGAGGTCCCTCAAGGATGTTGGACCACTTCAGTAGGATGTGAGGTCCCTCCATGATCCATCTCTGTTTTCCCTATTCCTAAACTAAAGATGAGGTCTTTACACCCATTAAAATAGACTGAAGTTGTAAATTCAAGTGTCCCTGCATGAAAAAGAGCATGTCCGAATTACAACGGTACCCTTTCAATCTTTAGTTGATCAATAATGTGGAAGATATGTTCGTTTTTCTAGGTTGGAAAGTGTTTTATTCTGATAATTTCCTCCCATTTTTTCTCCAGGAAAAATGCGCAAGTCACTTTTGATATTGTTACTTGAGGGAAAAGCCACGATTAAAAATGTTTAAAACAGATAAACAAGGATAACTCGTTCTTTCTTAATCTGGAAACACTTTCAGGGTATCGTATTGAATCGGACATGCCATATAATAAATAGAAAGTCAATCGAAGTTACGCCTATACAGTCCTTTAGTTCGGATTAGAAACTTAAACGACGGAAAACAAATGAAAAAATACGATTTTAAAAGTCGTCTTTGAAGTTTAATTTTAACAAGAAATCCCTCCCTTGCCCTCCCCCCCCCCGCTCCCCCAGCCTTGAATAATGAATAGAGCTAGTACTAACTAGTACAGGGTGTCCCATGAAACATGACAGTAGGTGAATAGTTTTAAATGTCTTCTTCCAAAACTGTTTTAGATATTAAAGAATTTTTACAGATTATTTAGTTTAAACATTTTTTACAATATGTTATTTTGATATCAGTTTTATTATATACTATGACTGCCATATAATTTTTCTATTAATATTCTCTTTGGTCTCAAACAACTTAACAAACAATGGAAGAAGACATTTACAACAATTCACCAACTGTCATGTTTCGTGGGACACCCATGTATGCATAGCTTGCTTAGTCATCCTCTGTTCAAAGAATCATCTAGAGAAACTGATAACAATAGTATAAGAATGAATACAAAATAGAATAATAGATACAAAATAAGAAAACTTATGATAATAATTGTTGAGTGAGTAAAATGCAATTTTTAACAAAATTTTGAGGTAACTCATTGGAAACTATGATATCAGCTCTGAACTTGTGTTCTTAGAAATCCCGCATGACGAAGAACATTCTAGAAATTTCATTAACAATAATTGCATTCTTTTATCCAAATTCTTTAAATTTATTTATAATATGTACCCCTTCCCCCCCAATACCGAATTGACGCAGAAAAATATGAAACACAATGTGACATTTTATCCTTGAAATTGACTAGTACCTAGATGTTTACACTATCAGTTCAGAAATGACGCTAGAAGTGAACACATCGTTAGTAAAGAAACATATAGATAAGGCAGAGAGAAAGATTAGCACCAATTTGGGACATCTCAGAATAAAACCAAATTATATCAGGCATTCACACCAAGTTGAATTTTATAATTTTGCAAATATTTGTATTGTGGGTGGACATTCTATTTCTTGATTTTAGACTTTAATTCAAGTAAAGAATAATGAGAAGTACGTTGGAGTCTAGATTAAACCAATCCTATTATTGTTTTAATTTAGTCTACGTAGGTCTACTGTCAGATTTATTTTAATTCAAACCAAAAACCAAAAAGAATAAACAAAAGGAAATGAGTTGTTGCCACAAAATCTAATTTCTTAATCCCTATATATTTGCAACCAGATGCAGTTGTAGACTATCAAAGTTTGTACTATCAGGTTGCAAATATATAAGGATAATAAAATTTTGGCTTGTGGCAAAAACTCAGATCCTTTACAGCATTTTCCCTTTTTTTACACAATGATAACATTAATTACTGGTTGAATATTAAGCAATTTATTTATTTTCAAATAAAACACAAGTATTTCTGGGATTAAAAATTTTACAAATCAAATGTTTTTTTTCCCCATTACAATCAAAAACTATTATTTATAAATATTGCACTATAACATATTACAAAATTTGGGTAAAAAAATAAATAGTCTTATTTTATTCCTGTAATATTGAAAATGATATGTTTGTGGATTAAAAACAATAGTTTTATTATCACAAAGCCAAAGAGAATCTACCCTAAATCCCTTCCTTAAATATAAATCTAAACAATATTTACTTTACATAATGTCGGGTTTGTTCTTTTTCATTAATAATTCTTTCCAATTGTTAATTTTCAAAAGACTTGGTTTTATTTCGGAATATTGCACAGCCCTACTTTAACCTAGAGATGGGCGCATTCATTTTTTTCATTTTGTTTGTTTATCGTTTGTTAACGACCCATTTGGTTAGTTTTTTTTTCAGTCACTTATTAAAATTTTGAATTCGTTCGTTTTCAGAATTATCCTTCATTTTCCATTTTTTCCCTTTGTTTCCAACTGAACCGTTGTTCTATTAAATTGTTTGTTCAGTGAGATCGTTCGATTAAATCCTTTCTTCAATTAAATTGTTTTTTTTTTCAGTTATAAAATTTTTTAAAAGTATATCAACATTTTTTTCCGTTTATTAAAAAACAAAAGTCTTAAAAAATGTTCATTTAGTAAAATATATTTCTTCTTTACAAGTTCGTTCAAACAATTTAGAAATCGTTTGTTTTCGATCGTGCCCAGGAAACATTTTAACCGACTATATGTGCCGATGGCGAAGATGTCGGGTAAATAATTCTGGACTTTATATGTTCAACATCTGTTTGTCGGAGACTAAATGTTTGCAGAATCTAACTGATCAAAATAATGCGTACGATTGTTAACAATTTAAAATTGTTCATTTTTGTTTTTTATTTCTCTAAACGATCCGAGTCGTTCGTCCATCGTTCATTAATTTTTCTGAACAACACCCTCATTCACGGAAATTTTTGGTAATTTCTAAATATTTAATTCGTTCACGAAAACTATGACCATCTCTACTTTAACCCATAATTAGATTTAGATAACAGAGCTTTATGTGAATGGTTCTAGAGCTGGGGAAGAATATTGGAAAGCTGCCCAACTGCTTCCCTCTACAGCTACCACAAAGGAGTATATTCAACTCATCAACCAATCAGCAGAATGTTTCTCAATGGGAAAGGACTTCTTGAGAGCGGGAAAGGTAATGGAGACAGGGCTAAGGAAGATAACAGCTGACTCTGAACGGTTTGATCATGCGCAGATCACAAGTATGGTTCAGTTCGCTGAACTATGTTTTTTCAAATGTGGTATGTTGGATATCTCGGCTGATCTTCTGTATTTATGTGCAGAGTATTTAATCAAAAACAACATTGGGGTATCACAGGGTATACTACTGATAAAGGAAGCTGTAACACTGCTAGAAACTGAAAGACGACCCTATCAAGCTGTTATGACAGTGTACAAAGCAATTAAGCTTATCTTAGACTCCCAGGACGTTGAAACAGAGTTAAATCAGCTGATTAAAACCGGTCTTAATCTTGCTCTCAACATTCATCATGAGAAATTTATTTTTATATTTTCCTTTCTTTTGCTGGTTCTTCAGAAGAACTTAGATGATTTTAATGCAAGCCAAGTTCCAGACGAAGATGAAGGACTAATAAACACAACTAAACTGTTTCTTGAAGACTGCTCGAACCAATCCCTGTTAAACTCCGTGCATCAGCATCCACAATTTCAGGGGTTAGACCTGGAATTGAAAACCTTCTTTCAAAATCTCTATCCTGGGGATGGTCTTGCAAAGATCACAGACACCAATGACTTACTGAAATCCCCCGCAGAGTTTAAGGATTCTGAAAATGAAAACCATACCTCAAAAGTTTTTTCGCCAACAACAGGTTCAAGAATACGGACGGCATCAGGCCAGTTTGGAAAATCAAAGCAAATGGGTAAACTTACTGCTATCGCAGCTGTAGCGGCATCCAGTGCTGCAATAACATCTGGTATTGCTGGTGTTGAAAGCTATAAAGGCAGCAGAGGATATTCAAGAAAACCTGGAAAGGAAGATTTAAAATCAAGTGTGTTTACAGATATCAACGGAGTGCATGTGGTTCATCCCGAAGCTGTTGGAATGACTAATTCACAGTTCCGAGAGGCACAGAGACAGTCAAGTCAATTTGATGATTTAGGATTTGATTCAATTCTTCAAGATTGATTTAATCAGTTTGGAATTCAATAAATACACATTTTTTATCTGCAAAACTTGTCATTTTTAGGTAGCCTTATAAGAAGCCAAAAGAACAAACTAAATGTTAAAAACAAGCAAAAAGTATTACCAACATTTTCAAAACTATAACGAGCCAGCGTTATCAGAAAAGCGCGAACAGTTCAAACAAATAAACTTTTTAACTTTAAAGAAAGAAAACCCAAACGGATATTAGTTTATAGTTTTTATTAGAAAAGTATCGTGTTTCGACATTTTTTTTTTTAAAATTCCTGCGTCGGTATTCATTTGCATTCAGTAAAAATGAGTTCAAAGTACACGTAAAAAAGCCTCTGATTATTGACAAATAGAATAATTTTGAGTAAATCAGTTGGTTGNTGGGACGGCAATGTTGGTCAAAATGCGTTAAACGAATTAATTTTGCAAATAAAAGTAACAAAAACATGTTTTTAATGAAAAATATATTTTGAACACATACACTGCCATGTTTTGTTTTGTCACTGGATGAATTTATTGAATTAAAAGTACAAATAAAATAATAAAATAATTTGTGTCAAATATTAAATTATTACGCATTTGTACATTTATCTTTTGCGGTTAAATTTACATCCCCCCTCCCCTTATTTTACTGCTTTATGAGTCTTTCTCTATCTGTCTTTCTAATTATCTATCTATCTATCTGGGTATCTATCTCTAAAGCTAGATATATATATAGATGGATAGATAAATAAATAGATGAATATGCAAGTAGATAGATAGATAAGTAGATAGATAGATATATAGATAGATAATAAGATAGATAGATAGATTCACATATCTGTGTATGTGGTTAAAGTTTTGACCCCTCTGTGTTATCAAATACACATGAATATCAGCTAATATGTAATGTTAAGTTATCTACCCACAGAAGATAATAATATTCACACCAGCCAAGAATTCTTACGAAGGATAGTCAATAATTACATAAATCAATAATGACACAAGGGATCTTGCGAAACACAGAGACATTTTTCTCTAGTTGTTATTTTTACAAATAAAAATTTGTGAAACAAATTATGTAAAACAAAAATTTGACAAAATACCTCTTTTTGCTCAATTAATTGTATTATCGTTTATATCAGGTGGGGTCATTCTTTTGCAAATACAAATTGATGATAAACTAATTTAAAAAAAAATTATAATCCACCAGCAATAAAGGAATTGAGTCTTTGCCACAAATTCTTTTTGTCTAGTCCGTAAATCATTGTAACCCAATGGCGTGGACCTTAGATATTTCAAACTATGAATTCTATTATCTCAAAAATCTAAGTAGTAAGTTTGAAATATAAATAGGTTTTTACCATCAGGGTTGCAAAGATTTGAGTTTGTGGAAAAGTCTCAATCGCATTTTTAATAGTAATACAAGGTCGCTATGATTTTGCTCCATATTTAAATAATGATTTGTTAGTAGATCTGAACAGGGGCGGATACAAGATTTAAGTGAGGGGGATGCTAGATTTATTTCGGAACAAAAAAATCCAGATTTAGGAACCAAAAAACAAGCCGAAGGCGAATTTTTTTTTGAGTTTCATGTTTTGCACTAGATTCTCTTTCCTTTATGTGCTATTGAGAAGGTAATCTGAAATCTCGGAGGGGGTGCGAAGGTCCTGCCGCCCCCCCCCCCCCCTGTATCCGCCCCTGGCTGAAGAATTGCTTATATTTAACTCTCCTGTTTACAGTCGCTTTGATGCTAGTGTGTCTTCTTATCTATATAATAATAATATATTTGAATACTTTAATATATTTTACTCCAGTCGTCTACTAGTTATATACATAGTAACAGAGATTATATATAATTTAAATTGACCCTTAAAGGGACTGTATGTATACGTAATTTCAAAGGACTGGGCATCTATGTACTCTTTCTATCACAGTTTAAAATATGCAGTTCTTAGCAAGATAAATATAGGATTTATTATTCCTTCTTTGTCAGAGCTAGGTTTAAAGGGTACCGTTGTGAATCCAACATCTCACAATGAAACGGAGATTCATTGGGATTTGCGTACGTAGACACTACCTTTACCTATCAAAATTTTAACAAGACCAGAAGGCATTCGCTTTCTTCTAATTTAATTTCATTGGACTTTGGTCCAACATTAATATTCTTCATAATATTCAAAAATTCAGCCGCCTACAAAAAGTACGGAAAAGAAAAAGCAAAAAGTTTATGTTTCTTGTGATCGAAAGTATCGGGTTGCTGGAAAAAGGACAGAACATGTTAAATCAGTATCTAGTAAATACCCTACTCCATAGCAGTTTCTAGAACCTGTAACTATACAGGTACATAAGTTCAGTTTCACTTAGCTATCAATGGTTATACCCAGATACAATCTCCTCAGCTATCGATGTCAGCGCGGAGCCGGACACTATGTTTAGCCAACTAGGACACGAGCTCTGAATTGATCAATGCCAAACCAATGGGCATAATCAGCTATCAATGTCTCTGCAGGGACACAAGCATGTATTCGATCAATGCCAAAACCAATGGGCCCTATATGATTTCAATGTGCTGACATTGATATCTGTTTGTTCTTAGATTAGAACTGAATGTTTCGTTCAGTTAATTGTATTTTCTGTTCTTTTTATTTAAACTTACCGATCGCTAACTATCTCAATAATAACGAAGTATGCAGAAGATATTATTGAAATCGTTAACGGCGCCCAGCAAGTTTCATGCAATTTTAAGAAGAACATTTTATAAACGTAGCTTTTCTTAACACATTAGTTCGTTCTTTTTTTCAATAATTAATATTTTTATGGCTTAAGTGTTTATTTTCAAACACAAAATACAAATAATAACGTATGATGGTTCAGCTTAAAATAAAACCCATAGAAAATTTATTAATAGAAAATTGAAAGTATAATGTTTGATAATTTTGTTCTGATCGGAATTTGTTGAAACAAACTATACATATTGAAATCTCAACTGAATATACATTTATTGTGGATTTACAAGTAGATACTTAGTCAGCACTCAAATAATCAAAACATTTACAGGAATGCATTCATTGAACTTATAAATTCATATTGATTTAGCAAAAGGCAATATATTCTCGTTGACTGTAGTAGACTTTGACATCCACCATTAGCAAAGTGTGAGAACCCATTCTTGTTGACTGTAGTAGACTTTGACATCCACCATTAGCAAAGGGTGTGAACCCATTCTTGTTGACTGTAGTAGACTTTGACATCCATCATTAGCAAAGTGTGTGAACCCATTCTTGTTGACTGTAGTAGACTTTGAGATCTACCATTAGTATAGTATGTGAACCCATTCTTGTTGACTGTAGTAGACTTTGACATCTATCATTAGCAAAGTGTGTGAACCCATTCTTGTTGACTTTAGTAAACTTTGACATCCACCATTAGCAAAGTGTGTGAACCAATGCTCGTTAGACTTTTGTGCGTAAACGATTTTAAAATTTACAGTTTTTCTCTTTATTAACAGACTAATCCGTTAAATTTAAAAAATTGCCGTTTTTTTTGAAGCCCTAGTTTCAAGGAAGGGGTAACGAACTAAGAAGATTAGTGGAGGTTTTTTAATTCCATTAATCTAGTTTTAATCCAAATAAGCACCATGGTTAGATAAGTGAAAGCGTAAATTCAATATGTCAATGGATTATTCACAACGGTACCATTGAAAGTTTTGTAGAAAGATATTTCTGTTAAAGATTAATAATGACGACATCGGAGGAGGACAGTGAAGGTTTATCTCATATTACATTAGGGAACAATACAATAATATAATTACAATAACACAATTACAATAATATAATTACAATAATATAATTACAATAATATAATTACAATAATATAATTACAATAATATAATTACAATGATACAATTACAATAATATAATTACAATGGTACAATTACAATAATATAATTACAATAATGTAATTACAATAATACAATTACAATATTATAATTAAAATATTATAATGTTAATAATATAATTACAAGAATACAATTACAATAATGTAATTACAATAATAAAATTACAATAATATCATTACAATAATATAATTACAATAATACAATTACAATAATATAATAATAATAATACAATTACAATAATACAATTACAATAATACAATTACAATAATACAATTACAATAATATAATTACAATAATATAATTACAATAATAAAATTACAATAATACAATTACAATAATACAAGTACAATAATATAATTACAATAATATAATTACAATAGTACAATTACAATAATATCATTACAATATTGAATTTCATGAAAAATCTAAAACAATAGTTTTAAAAATTAAAAGTGGGGTATTTTCGGAGGTCAGGGGGGGGATGTTTTTTGTCACAATCACCCTTTTAAAATACATATACCTTGTATTTCATGATGAGAATGGACATATTTTAGAACTTCAATGCAACATTGCTACGACTTTCTCTTATTTGACTTAAATAAGAGGTTAATGGTGTGAACTAAATATCGCTGTGTGTCCAGCCCTCTGGATTTCAGATTTCAGATAAAAAAATCTAATTTTATATGTTTTGTTCAGTAAAAATCTATGCCGCTGTGATAATTGTAATTCTTAGTTTAGCTTTTGGATTTCTTCCTCTCATACTTTCTAAAAGGTAAATGTATTAAATATATAAGAAGATGACGAGTCTCTCTTCATAGACCATTCCGTGTGGCAGACGCTGAACTCCAACCTTCGAGTGTGCGAGGTAGGGAATACTTCACTGCCGCATGATTAAGGGGGGATGACATTTGTAGATGGAGATTGAATCCTAGCCGCAGCGCTCGGCCCAGAAAGTGTCTTAACCTAACCTAACCCTAAACAAATGCTAATTAAATCGAAAATTGTTGAAAAAGTGGTCATGTACAAAAGTAAAATCTTCCCCACCTCGCACAATCAAAGGTTGGAGTTCAGCTTCTGCCATTCCGTGTGTACATCATGTACATTGTGGTCGTCTTGTTGACGTACTTTGGGGGACTATTGTTTGGCCGCTAGGTGTCTCACGCTAAATTTTTATCTGCAGGGAGACAGATAGATTATTCGTAGTTACACAGTCGGAGAATGGTCGGAGACGTCATGTGGTCGACCACTGTATCCTTGAAAAGGAATGGCCCCCTTTTTTTGTAAGACACATGGGGTACCCACTAAGATGAGATTTCAAAGACGATGTTTATATGGAATTATATCGTTTTTTTTTCTTACATTCAAGGTTCCCTGCGGTGTGACTGTTGCACTTTCTCTGGCAAATCTTAATATATAATATTAAATCGTGGATAGTACCCTAGATCATCCAAATACCATTTTCTTCCTGATTCCTAGGCTGTTATTAAATCTTATGATCCCGACTAAACTCTTTATCAGTATTACTGAATTTGTTTCATAGTGACATTAAACTTATTGGACCCTGTTTGGTATGGATTTTATAAAGTTTGATCTGAAAGCTGGCAAAGGGTAAAAAATCAATTCAAAGATGTTTAATTAATTCATGTGTTTTCTTAAATGCAATTCAAAACTGACCGTTTTAAAACTATTTTCTACAGTGATAACCAGAAAACCGTGGAATAGGAAGACGACATTATATATCAATAATTAAGTTTTTTTATGTTGTCACAAAGCAAATACTTTTACTATACACTGATCAAATCATAATTTAGTAAAATGGGTTTATTTACACTGCACAGTTGCTTTGTCTCATGCTGGTTGGACTAGATTAAATTATAACTTGATTCTAAAAGTAGTCTTCATATTTAAGAGTTTTCTGGTTATCGCTGTACAGTGGTAGGAGATTATATCAATACAATGAAGACGACATTCGTATTCAATTTTGATTTGACTTCAGCTGTTAAACGTACTACATGGATACACAAAAACAAGAGAATTCATCAATTAAAAAAGCTTCCCTTTGATTACTTGTAAACTTGTAATTAAAAAAAAAACTTGTTAACAATCAAAACTTAATAAAAAATCGTCTTCATTGTAGTGATATAATCGCTTACCACAGTATATGTTTATAGGCTTGATTTTACAGCCGTGGAAACTTCAGATCCAGAGATATTAAAGAAACATAAGAAAAAATTTAAGGTAAGAATAAGCTTGTTAAATGAAAGTTTTTCGAAAATACTAAAAAATTCTTGGAACTTAATTGGGAAACTGCTGCTAACCCAGGATCTAAGATTTTAAATCTTGGCCTTTGGGTAAAGTCAATCTTCGTTCGGCCGCGGCCGGCTCGATAGGGGCTCGGATTTGGGAGGCGGGGGGGGATGAAGTCCGAAGGGATGGGACCCTAATGGCCGATTTGAGATTTATTTTTGATATTTCCAGAATGTTCTTCTCTCCTTTTTATTAAACCTTGGCGGAGGTGTTCTCCTGGCAAACTGTTTCTGTCATTGGTTACCAGAGGTCAGAGAGGAGATAGAACTTGCACAGTTTGAAACGTAAGAAAAGTTTGAAACGTAAGGAAAGTTTGAAACGTAAGAAAAGTTTGAAACGTAAGTAAAGTTTGAAACGTAAGTATAATTTGAACCGTAAGTATAGTTTGAAACATAAGTAAAGTTTGAAACGTAAGTAAAGTTTGAAACGTAAGTATAGTTTGAAACGTAAGTATAGTTTGAAACGTAAGTAAAGTTTGAAACGTAAGTAAAGCTTGAAACGTAAGTATAGTTTGAAACATAAGTAAAGTTTGAAACGTAAGTAAAGTTTGAAACATAAGTAAAGTTTGAAAGGTAAGTATAGTTTGAAACATAAGTAAAGTTTGAAACGTAAGTAAAGCTTGAAACGTAAGTAAAGTTTGAAACATAAGTTAAGCTTGAAACGTAAGTAAAGTTTGAAACGTAAGTAAAGTTTGAAACGTAAGTATAGTTTGAAACGTAAGTATAGTTTGAAACATAAGTAAAGTTTGAAACGTAAGTAAAGCTTGAAACGTAAGTAACGTTTGTAACATAAGTAAAGTTTGAAACGTAAGTAAAGTTTGAAACATAAATAAAGTTTGAAACGTAGTAAAGCTTGAAAGGTAAGTAAAGTTTGAAACGTAAGTAAAGTGTGAAACGTAAGTAAAGCTTGAAACATAAGTAAAGTTTGAAACGTAAGTAACGTTTGTTACATAAGTAAAGTTTGAAACGTAAGTAAAGTTTGAAACATAAATAAAGTTTGAAACGTAGTAAAGCTTGAAAGGTAAGTAAAGTTTGAAACGTAAGTAAAGTGTGAAACGTAAGAAAAGTTTGAAACGTAAGTAAAGTTTTAAACGTAAGTAAAGCTTGAAACGTATAGCAAAGGCCGGTCCTAAAAAGGGACTGTACGCGTAATTTCAATTGACCTTTCATTTAAAGAATGATTCACAACGGAACCCCTTTAATTCTCTATGCGAAATAAACAGTATGATATTGTCTTTTTTCTACCTTATATGTTGAATTCTGGCAAAAAAATAGATACTTCATTAGCAAAGGTATAAAATATAATAGAAAAGAAGCGAATAAAACAGATCTGAAAAAATTTCATAGAATGATCATGCTACACTTTTCAGATATAGAAATAGGGAGGACATGATAAAATAAATAGAGTAAAAAAAAAGATTAAAAGGAGAAAAAAATTAAATTTTTAGTATTTAGAACATTGCCTGTTGCTGAACTAATAATGTGTTCAGGATTCTTCTTTATATGCTTTCTTGGTAAAGATTTTAAAATAATAAAGGAATTAAGTTTTTGTTATAAACTCAAAATTATTTTTGCAGCCTGATGGTGTAAACCTTTGATATTTCAAACTTGAATTATTTGATCAAACACAACTCATAGTTTGAAATACAGAGCGTCCCATATCAAATTAGATTATCTCCGATCTTTAACACTTAAATACGCACATAATATTCGAAAAATCTAGCATTTTCTGCAAAAAAAAAATTATATTAGCCTTATTAAATTTTTCAAAATGATTCATTCTTCTTAAATTTTCTGATTTGTCCCCCAAATCGTAATTTAGACCCATTGACGCGGTCTAATTTGATGTGGGACACCCTGTATATCCCATGGTCTACACCTTGCAAAGATATAGGGATTAGAAAATCAAAGTTTGTGGCAAAGGACAATTCCTTTATAAATGTTTAAATATAAAATATATTATATAATATAAATGTTTAAATATAATATAAAATAGTTAAATTTTAAAAAATTACAAACAATAAAAATTCAACTGAAAACGGCAAATGATTAATTGAAAAATAATTTTTAACCCAAACACAAAAATCTTATAAAAAATTGATATTTTCGAAATAAACTATTTCAAAACTTCAATTTGAATTTAATTGCATTTTAAAATGTGTGTGCTTTGTATAACTGTTCTAAAAAATCTATGAAGATTGACTGTTTTTATTTTTAGAGGAGTTATTACATCATTTTCTGCACCCTCATAAAGGGAAAGCTGCGTCAACGAGAAAATCTTACAACGTAAGAATTAAATGATTTTCTAACATTTTTTGCATTAGCTCGATGACTTATGGTTAAAAGCATTATACATTTTTATTTTGAAATCTAATTTGTGAGTGTACTAAAGATGATGGATGAAGTGTACCACTGTAACTTAAAATTACAGATATTTATCAAAACATGAACAAAAACTAGAAATTGGAGATTTTTTCATAGATAGATAAAGGCCGTGGTTGTTTTTTAGCTTTTATCTACAGGGTGTCCCATATCATTTCAGAATAATTAACGGGCTCGCATTTGGAAAAAGGCGATATCAATAAAAGATGGGCAAAGGTTGAAGTGCAAAGATCAGGCGTGCGAGGTGGGGAAAAATTTTCTTCATGTTTTACAGCTGAATTGACTGAACGCCGCGCTCAATTAAAAGCATCAGTAATTGGGGATGAATTTTGTAGATCCAAGTAAATAATTTCGGTGAGTTGCCTGCGTAAAGACTGACAGCTGGTGGGGGGGGGGGGGGGGGGGGGGGGGGGGGAGGGGGAGGACGCGGATCATTTTATACAAATGTTTAAGGATGGATATAGGTTTGATTCAAATGTTGCAAAAGATATATTCGAATGTCGAAACAGGATGTATACGAATGTAAAAGGGTGGATACGAATGTTAAAGGATGGATACAAATGTTGATATCCATTGGGTTTAAGTTAAAGGATGGATATAAATGTTATGATGGATTATGAATTTGATATAGGATGGCTACTAATGTTAAACGATACCATGTATTGATATTGGTTGGATGCAAGTTAAAGGATGGATACGAATGTTGAATAGGATTGATACAAATGTTGATATCGGTTGGATTCCTTTTCCATTTTAAAGGGATTTCGAAGTAATTTCAAATGACCTTTCTGTGTAGAGAGGCATATTTGAGTTACAAATTGTTAACCATTAGGTCATTAAACCTTTAAATTGTGAATCATGTTAAAATTAATTTCACTTTTCTAGCAAGCTACTTAGTAGAAAATCACATATGCATCTTGACCATACAGCTTGGTACCGTCAAAGTATCAAGGTTTTTTCTGTAATGTCGATTTATTAATGTCGTCATTCAAAAAACGAGCCCGTTAATAGTCCGATTTGATAGGGGTCACCCTGTACATGAAACTGCACATTGTTCATGTACTTGTAAACATGCCATCTTTACTTTATCTATTTCTAATAAGTGTGCAACCAAATCTCCATAAATTTGTCCAGGGGGGGGGGGGGTGAATGGTCGCTAAAGATACCTCTAATGTCCACTAAGTGGTATGTTCTATTTGTTGCATAGTACTATCTGAAACACGCTCACTATAAATAAAAACCCCCTGACTATCCGAAACAGCTATTATATTTGATACTTTGGTTTGGGTGACATTTCCTATTATTTACTTATAAATGACAATCACAATATGAGTCATTCACACATTCATTATATTATCCTCTTTTTTTTTTTTTTTTTTTTTTTTTTTTTTCCCTGTTACTTCTTTCCTTTTGCCTTCTTAGCCTTCTTGTCAGCCTTGTCAGCAGCATTTAAAGATCTTCTAAGGTCAACTTCCCTAGGATTTTTCATCTTATTGGTAGATACAGGCATTAGCATGATCTGATTGGTTGCCCTAGGATTGTGATCATATTTGGCTCCCTCATGATCTCTGAATCCAGTTTGATGATATTTCTTGATCACTCTTACATATTCTGGCCACTTGCTTTTTGCAATATGGTAACCTTTACCTGTTCCTGCTTGGAACTCATCAAAAGCAACTTGTTGAACTTTCAGTCCACCTCCTTTCTTCTTCTTCATTATAGACTTGTGCAAGTTGTAGGGATTGAGACCATTTCTAATGTTAACCTCTCTCAGATAGTCATTGAAATGTCCCACTTTTTCCCAATTTAACTCCTGCTGTGGAATGAAGTGCAAAGTTGGAAAGGCCACTTTATGCTCTGGGTGATAATCCAACTCTTCTTGAATCTTTCTCACCAAGTTCTTCATGTCTTCAAGACTTGTTTCTTCTACAGAATTCTGCCATATTATAGCAGATATCCTCAATGGCTGATCTCCTTCATATGTTCTAAGAATTCTAATAATTTCTTCTCCCAGGGCAGTTGCTTTTCCACCAGACACAGAGATCCAATCCATCTGAAAATTTAACTCTTCTTCTGGCAAAACAACTGTCCATTTATCCCTAACCTGAGAATGTCCTATCACAAGGTTTCTGTAATTAGCTCTACTGTCACATCCTAAGTTAATGGTAGTTTTATGCTTTGGTAGCTTTGTGTTATAAGGATCCTTGGAAAGATCCATATACATCTCCCTAGAAGAATCCTTGGAAAGATCCATATCCTGATCCCTAGAAGAATCCTTGGAGAGATCCTTTTAACTCGCAGAATCCTTGGAAAGATTCCCATATCTAGTGGAACCTTTGGAAGGGTTCAGAGTTTCTGGACTCTTGGAGGAATCCATTTTTTTTTTTTTTTTAATCTGAAAGGTCTAAAAAAATCAATATTTAGAAAATAATATGTGTGTTTCAGTTAATCAAATGAATATAGTAAATATATGTGTACATGAATAAAGTGATTGTTAAAATAGTACAATATGAGAGTAAGTTATAAAATAAAACACAAGATAATCTTGAAGTCAAACTTTGAAAAAAAAACTTTGATCATATCCTTCTTCTCAGAATATAAATCTAGATGAGCTTCCCTGTTTGAATAACATTCAGAAGTTTGCAACTGTTAACTCCTCGTTTGGTTAGAACATCTGCCAGTTGCTCACTGCCTGGGACCCATGTAATGCTGTTGATGTCCCCTCTTTCCAGAAGCTGCTTGATGGCACCAATTTCTCTGCGCAATCTCTTATCATCCACCACTGTTGTTGATTTGACAGCATCAACAGTTGATCTGTTATCTACAATACCATGTATCTTGATTGTTTTTGAAGGTAGATTCAGAGTATCCTCCAGAACTCTTCTAATATGCAAAGCAGTCTCCAGACCATCACACAGACTGAGAGCTTCTGCTGCTAGGGTGGACCTAACTACACGCTTTATTTTGTTTGCCTGCCAATCTAATACAGCACATTTCTTCTGCTCCGAGTCAGTTAGAAACACAATATGCCCTCCTGTGCTATCTACTCCATCATTAAGGTTTCCTAGAGCAGCATCTGTGTAGCAAAGAATCTGCCAATCTCTAGGATTTTCTAGGGCTGGAATGAGAATTTCAGCTTTGTTCATCTTAGTGTTAAGCAAAGCTTTTCTCACTCTAATAAGATCGTCAACAATTCCACTTTTGAATTTAGTGCTCAGTTCGATCATCTCAAATGCAAGGTCAGGTCTAGTAGCTCTTACAATCCAATTTAGTGCACCTGCCATTTTTCTCAAATCTGTCCTTTCAGATTCAGTAAGATCTGAAGTTTTCTCCTTCATTCGCTTCGGGTCCATTTCAATGATCTCTACAGTTGAATTAGTGTACTTTGATTGATCCAACACAATATTATCTCCACTTTGTTTTATGTAAAACCCAGTGTACATGAAACTTTCCTTCTCATTCTTTCCAACCTGGAAACTCTTAAGTATTGGATATAGTATTGAATCATTGAATGAATCTGACCCAGCATGGATGAAGTCATCAACATGCAGACCCACAATGCCAACAGTCTTACCAGCATCATCATGCATAACAAATAGTCCTGGGTCTTGCTCAGATTGTTGAAATTTGGCATCAAGAAGCTTTCCTCTTACTTTGAAATACCATTGACGGCTTGCATCCTTCAGTCCATAAAGGCACTTATTTAGTTTCCACAACAAACCTTTGTCAACATTTGCCTCCTTAGGTGGTTTAATAAATACTTCTCTTTCAAGTTTTGAACCCTGAAGAAATGCACTCTTTATGTCTGTAGTCTCGACCTTCCACCTCTTGGTAGCTGGCAGGTGGACCATCAACTAGGATGTTAGGCAATTTGGGGTTTCTGCCAAATACCAATTGGTTGGGACTATGTCCATAAACCATCTGCAATGAGTTTTTAGCCATGCAAGCCCATGAAACCTTTGTCTGCAGACTCATGGTTGGATAGTCATCATCCATTCTTTCCAGAATGTTGTCTGCTAGAGCATGGTTCTTTTCACAAAGGCCATTTTGCCATGGAGAATCAGCAGCTGTAGTAAGGTCTACAACATTAAGTACACTCTTCACCTCTCTGATTTCTTCGCCTGTAAACTCTCCACCATTATCATTGAGAATTGAACTCATGACCCCAAAGTTAGCCACCCACTCTTGCATTATAGCATCTATGACCATGGATGGTTTCTTTCTGCTTATAACTTTCGCCTTTGTCAATCTTGACCACATGTCAATCATGTAGAGTATATACTGACCTTTCCAGATCTTTAGATCAATGGCAATCTTCTCATTGAACTCATTTGCCATTGGCATGGCCACTGCAGGTCTATCTGGATTCCGCTTTCTTTTAATGCAACCTTCACAGTTTTCAATAATGTCATCTAAAATCTTTGACATGTCCTCAGTGTAGGAGTCTGCTGATTTCAGTAGATCTGTAAAACTCTTCTTTGGTCTATGGCCAAATTGTTTGTGAATCTTTCTAAGTGCAGTAGTTTTCACTGTACAATTTGCAGACTTAAGGTCAATGGCAAAAGCATCCTCAACTTTGAAACTCTCATCTACCTGCTTGATGGCTTCATCCAGAGGCAGAAGATAGTGACCAGCACTAGTGGTGTTGAGATCAAGAGTTTTTCCTAATATCTCTACCTTGTCTTCTAACATGAATAAAGTGACTCCTAGTCTTTTCATGTCAGCTTTGGAGAGAAGCATGGGAATATCTGAAGAAATTATATCCACCTCAATGCTTTGCTCAGTACCAGCTATGATTGCGGGTATCTTGTATCTTCCTTTAGATTTGAGTACTCCTTGGTTACCAAATTGGAAACATTTCTTTCCTTCTACCGGCCCAACCACATTCTTTTTCATCTTGCTTGACAGGCTCTTAAGATAAATGTTCAACCACTTTTCTCCTGCAACAGTTGAGGTACAGCATGTATCTAGTGCGGCACAGTTAATTGACTCAGATGTGAATCGACTCAGTTCCTCTCTATCAGAGGTGAAGAGAACAAATCTCTCAATTTCAAAGTCATCCTCTTCACTTAGACTTTCAGTGAGATTGCAGCTACTATCCTCATCATCTTCAACATGATATGCTCCAAACTTATTTTTTTCATAGCTGTCTGGGCATTGCTTTATGAGATGTCTAAAGGAGCCACATGCTCTACAAGTCATCATTTTTCCATCTGGACCCTTTGAATTTATTGGTCTCCCACCCTTCTCCAATTTCTGTTCACATGGTTTCTTTGAGAAGCTAGATTTCTGAAATCTAGACTTGTTTCCTTTCAGATAAGAATTTGGAACTGTATTAGCTCTTCCACGATAGTATCCAGCAGCAGCCAGAACATCTTTATGTTGAGCCAACAAAGCTGGTTCCAACTTAATGGCTGGAACAGACTCTTGCTTAGTTTTCATGCATTTTCCCAAGATGTTAGACATGTTTAACTTCACATTCTTATACAAATTGTTCTTGTCAGTCATATCTACCCTAGACAAAACTAACATTCTCTCTAAGTTGGAAAGACCAGCTCTCTTCATTAGCATATAGGCAAGGATTTCACCAGACAAACAGGTTCCAGTTGCCTTGACTCTGTTGCTTTTTATTTCATATTCAGCAATAAAGTCCTCTAGTGATTGCTCACTTTCCTTCTTACAGCTATCAAATTCATCCCATTTTTCAATCACATCATCAATAGTACTGGACTCAGATTTTCAAACACTCTTTCTCTCAGATCATTACCAAACTGAGATTTATTGGGCAATGACAACGCCACATAGTTTCCTTGCTTGGATTTCGCCAAATCTGTCACAGATGCCCACGCAGTAATTTCACGCTTAAACGCTTCATATGTCTTACACGCATTTATGTCAGGGGGTGTAACTCCAAATTTTGTCGCCATTTTTAATTTTTAGCGCTACAGATAGTACTTGCTATTGTGGGGGGGAGAAAAATAATTAAATAAATGACTTAACATGGGTACTTGGAAATACCCAGGGCCATGATCATTTATTGCTCTGCTACCATTGAATGGTCGCTAAAGATACCTCTAATGTCCACTAAGTGGTATGTTCTATTTGTTGCATAGTACTATCTGAAACACGCTCACTATAAATAAAAACCCCCTGACTATCCGAAACAGCTATTATATTTGATACTTTGGTTTGGGTGACATTTCCTATTATTTACTTATGAATGACAATCACAATATAAGTCATTCACACAGGGGGGGGGGCTAATTTTTTTTCTCCTTTCGGACCTACACCTCATATACTCACTTTGACTTATTCCCCTCCTGTGTTTAGACTAGAGCTAGTGATTCTGAAACTAACTTCAGATACAGGAAAAATATTAGTGAACATGAAATGAAAAGTTCAGGAGGTAATAAATATTATTGATTTTTTATAATTTTAAACATGTTTTTTTTCCACAAATTTTATTTAATAGTTTTTAAGTTTTTTAATAAGTTTTTAAACAAGTTTAAGAAAAAAACGTTTAAATTTTTTCAAACAAGTTTCAAGTTTTTATACAAATTGAAAAAAAAAATTTGTGCAACTTTTTATAAAGGAACTTTTGCTTAATTCAGTAAGTTGTAAAGCTGATAATCTAAAACAAAACAAAATAAACTTGATATGAATTTTGTGGTCATTTGACCTAATACAGTGAAACCCTTAATAAAGAATACATCGGAAGAATTTATCAAATGTCGTCTTGACAATTTTTCAATGAGTTTTATACTATATTACGTAAATTTCAGTATTTGCGAAAATAAATAAATAGCCATAAATATGCGGGAACAGTTTTAAAGAGTTCCATATAATCATTTAATTAAAAAAAACTAAATTTCTGCAACATTCCATTATCAGAAAGTGAAGAATACGACATTTGATCAATTCTTTCGATGTATTCCTTATTAAGGGTTTCACTGTAGTCTATCAAAAAAAATTGAGATGCTGTGGTTAGCCCTTTATATTATTATTGTATTATTTTAAAAACTGTTAAAGGTAGTGTTCGCGAAAAACGAAAGGCTGAATTTCAATCAAATTGGATTGGATTGAATTGGAGTGTTTGCTAAAATTCCTTTTTTGTCACAAGCTTAAATTTTCATATTCCTATATCTTTGAAACCTAATGATGTATAAATATGATATTTCAAAGTTAAAATATTTTATCTAATACAATTTATAGTTTGAAGTATAAAAAATCTTCGATTTTGGTCGCAAAGAAACAGGCAAAAGAAAATTTAAGTTTGGGACAAATATTTGAATCGCTTAATTCCCAAGAGCGAAGAACTCGCGAAAACTCGCACAAGATTTAAAGGAGTTGATTTTCTAATCCCTATATCTTTGCAACCTGATGAGTGATGATTAGACCACTGATATTTTAAACTAATATATTTTGCTGTAAAAAAGTTTGAAATATCTAAGGTCTCCGACATTGGATTGCGACGATATAGGGTTTAGAAAATCAGATTTTGTGGCAAAGACACAATTCTTTTACTGATTTAAAATCATTCAGAACAAACAGATAATCCTGAAGAGGAGAGTGAAGAAGATTATGAAGAAGATGAAAAGGAAGAGAAGAAGGGAGCACAGGTTCTTTAAAAAACTTGACACACACTCTAATTTTCTAATTCCTATATCTTTGCAACCTGCATATTTTTTATATGAAAATCCTACAAATGAATTATTAGGCACTAAATTGTATTTTTGACCATTTCAGTAACCGACTAAACCTTATAGTGATTAGTGACACCTTTGTAGCAAAATCAATAATTTCCATGAGATCAGATCACGGGCAGCCGTAGTACATTTGAATTTCCGAGCCGGGTCAACCTTTCCGGTCCCAGTTTGTACTGCATCGCCCGGACATTGGGTAAATTAAGCAGACACTCAATTGGACCAGCCGGTGCAACAAGGTTCAGACTTCAGGTTGAATTTACTTTTACTGAAGGGTGCGTGAGATTTAAAAATATGTCCAAGGCATCTTAGATCTGTGTGGAGTATCTGTCTGACCCCTTAAATGTTATAAAGGGAGTGTTCGCGAAAAATAAAAAGGGGTAAACATAAAGCCGCAAGAATTGTTCCATTTAAATTTTAAGCAAATTTAGGATTTCACTGGATTCTCCGCTGTAGGCGCCAAATGTAATTTTTTTAGAACAATCCCTTTATTAAATGCATGATGCCAATCTTTATAAAGACTTTTAAACGCACAAATAAATTGAGTCTTTGCCAAAAACTATCATATTTTAATCCTTACAGCTATAAAACCCGATGTCGTCAACCTTAGATATTTCAAAATATGAATTTTGTAGGATCAGAAATTTTGTAGGATTACATAAAAGATTTCGAAATTAGAACATTTGAGTTTGCGGCAAAGATTCGATTCCTTCACCCCGATATTCGTCCAAATATTGTATGACGGTTTTGAAATTCCAAAGCATTGATTGACCCCCCCATCATTAATCTATCATTTATATAATTTCAAATATGTACAATGTATTACAATGAAATTTAAAACCACAAAATTTTACCTTTTTAAAGTGAACTGGCACCTTTTAAGTAATTTAATTCGGTTCGGATTAACAATAAGCTTAAGTCATTAAATTCTTTCTCATTGGCAAAAATTTAATGAATTAACAAAGAAATGAGAAAATTAACTCAGTTACAAAAACTCTATTTCTTTTAGATAAAATCAGCAATTAGAACATTTTTCATCATTTCAGCTCTGTCATTTCATAGTACTGTAGAAGGTAAGCCTAACTATTACATACATTGAAGCAAAAGTTGATGCGCGCAATAACATTTTAATGCACGTAAAAAAGACAAAAAATGTGAAGACAATTTTTTTAATGTTTTCTAGTTTGTTCAACCATAATTTTACTTCTTTTGACTCTGATGGTCAAACTAAGCATTTCCTGAATTATTTCTAAACCTTCTCTTTATACATATCAAAGGGACTATTATTAGAGTTGTAATTGACTCTCAATTTTTAAATAAATCTGACTGATTCACAATTTGGTACCCCTTCAACCTTTACCTCATGTATCGTCGTAGTTCCAGCTTGAAAAGTGTTTAGAATTTTTCCTATTTTCTCTATTGTGACTGTAGCAAGGTGTATAATAAGACAGCTTACTCTCGGATGCGCTCTAATATACGGAAAATGTCGTCTTCTAAGATGTATAGATAAAAACCTAATATGACGTCACTCTCGCTTCTATAATCAGTGATGTCATTAGGTTTTTTATATCTATCCTAGGGGACGACATTTTACGTACATTGGAGCGCATCGAGAGTAACCAAATTTATTATACAACCTTGATTTGTACAAAGATATATAAATATAGGGTTTCTAAGAATTACAACGGCAGACTAGAAACATCACAGCGACTTAGGATAACAAATTCTTGTTCGATACCATTTCAAGAATTTTTGCAAAATTATAAATAATATTTTCGTTACAAAAATTTTTAAACGTTGTAATGATCAGGCCTGGCTTTAAGTTTGGAAGGAGAAGCCGCTGGGGTTTGGATGGTGACAGGTAAAAACAACTTTTTTTATTTTTATTTAAAAACTAATACTCGAGATTTTTTACAAGATTTGATCCAAGATGCTTCCAAGTTTAAACTTGGCCAACACTTGGATATAAAACTTGAGTTTTTTTCGAGATTTAATTATTTCCAAGATATTGCCAAGGACCATTTAAAAGTCGATATAATCTTCCATAATAATGTTCCAAGTTAAAACTTGGCGTAAACTTGGATAAAAAAGTTATTGATACAAATTCATGACTGGTAATAAAAAGTAGACAACTGCTCGAAATTTAGTCAACACTAAATTTATATTTCTATATTTTAGTTTGCTTTTATCATGATTATTTTATATTTGTGTGCGAAATAAATTAACTGAGTTTTTGCCACGAAATCAAATATTCTAATCCCTATATCTTTGCACCTGATGATGGAAACCTTTATTATTTCAAACTTATACTTTTGGATTTAAAACATTTCATAGTTTGAAATATAAAAGGTCTACAACATTGGGTTCCAATTTCCAAAGATATAGGGATTATAAATAAGAGTTGTGGCAAAAACCCCAAATTCTTTTTTTTAGTTATTTAGGAGCAACAACGCTACATAAATTTGTTATTTAAGAGTAACAGCGCTACATAAATTTGTTATTCAGGAGCAACAGCGCTACATAAATTTGTTATTTAGGAGCAACAGCGCTACATAAATTTGTTATTTCCTTTTCTGTTGGTGTCGAGTTAATTGCAAGCAGGGTAAGGTGCATATTCATTGATTCAGTGGTCGGCGTTTATATTAATACGATGAAGACGACTTTTCTTTTTAAACAAAGAGTAGCTGTTAATTGACAGATTTTTTTGTGTCCATGTTTTTGTATCTTTGCTGTTTACATTACAATTTGTCCACTTTAAACCATATAAATTTAGGAAAATATGATTTTCTACAAAATATTAGAGAGAGAATTCAGTTAATATTTTCGTTCTCCAGAACTTGAGATTATATGTTATTATTTTATAGGTTGGGAATTTGAAATACACAATTAGTATTTGTGTATTTAGCTTTGCTCCGGCTGTAGGAAAAATATTTAATATCAGAACAATAATAAAGAATAAATATAGATATATGAAGATAAATTATGATTTATGTTTAAACGAATGATGAAGATTAGGTAATTTCATAGAAACACATGGATAATATTGATCATGTGGCCGCAGCGCCCGGCCTCCTAGCCTGTTCTATCCGCAGCGCTCGGCCCCCAAAATTGAAAAAGAAATTTTACTAAACGAACTTACAACAAATTTAATATTTTGGGTCCAGAAGTTGAAAAAAGGAATATTACTTGAAAAACTAAAAAATATAATATTTTGTATCCAGGACTAGGAGTTGGAATAAAAATATTTCTTGAAAAAATTACAAAAATTGAATATTTTGGGTCCTGGAGTTTGAACAATATAATTTGAAAACCTAACAAGAAAGATACTTTTTTGGGTCCAAGAGATGGAATAGGAATTTTCATTGGAAAACTAAAAAAAATATATTTGGGGTCCAGGAGTTTGAATAGGAGTATTACTTTAAAAAGTAACAAAAAATGAATATTTTAAGCCCAGGAGTTGGAATAGGAATATTACTTACAGAATTAAGCAAAAATTCTTCTCTTGACGAACTTCCTCTACAAATTATGCAAGGTTGGTATTCCATGTAATGGTACGAATATCAATATCGGATCAAAAAGCAAGAAATAAGAGGATTTAAAAAAACAAATCTTGGTTAAAAAAGTAGGGTAGAGACTAAAAATAATTTGAAATAGTCTATTCTTTAATACTTTGAAAACCTATTCGAAAATGAAAAAAAAACAAGTTTTATTGCCAATATTTGTCAAAATTGTAAATCTAATATTTTACACTTTCAAAACCCTTTTTTTCAACCTTGTTTACCTTCCTAGTCCCGTAACCATTAAGCGGTCTACAACTTTCTTAAATGAAAAGATGGGTTGTGAACAAGTATTAACTTCATACCTTATCTTTAAAGGGACTGTTAAGGTAAAATGAAATGGGCCGGGTATAGGCTGAAGCCTAAAAATTCTAGTAGTTGGTCGAGATCAATATTAGTTCCAGCTGATGTCCCTGTATCGAGAAATTGATATAGCACTTTGTCATTTAACATGATTAAATCTAATTTAGGAGTTGCCACCGGAACAGTTATATATGTCGTCTTCATGGAGATTCTGCCAAAAGCAAAGTCTATTGGTGAGAAATAAAATATGTTAAAGTTTTTATTATTTTTTTATGATTTTGGATTGCAACTTAATTAGGGTTTTTTATTTTAAACTTTTTTAAAAAGTAATCGTAAATTCAGATTCGAAAACAATTAAAAAAATATTAAAATAAAAAAAAATTTTACGTTCTAAATTTTTCTAAAAATCCTCTTTAAAACTATCCAGCAATAATACAAGAATAATTTACTTTTACGCACCATGACAAAATTTCTGATAAAGCTTTCGTAAATTTAATTTTGAGCTAAAATGTATGATCGTCGTTTGAGAACAGTATATCGTTCTTTTTTACAGTGCAAATTACATATTAAATATTTAATAAATCATAATTCATGATATATATTTTGTTTGAACAGGAGGAACTGGGTTCCAGCACGTGACTTCAATGATTCTTGGATTTGCAATATTTCTACCATCTCTCTACTTTCGTAAGATTAACGAAGAGCTTTCTTTATAAATGGCGGTTCACTTGAAATTTCATCTACAGTCTCTTTCAAGGAGAAAGGATAATATTTTTAAAGCATATCTTTTTAAATTTTTAACTTTTCTTAACCCTATCCATATCCCTACTTGAAAACCAGGATATGCTTGGGGGGGGGTCAAACTGACCCCCCCCTCTAAATCCCATGTTTTATGTCCAAATATGACAAATGATACATCATTAGAAAGCTCTTGTCCTCTACTTTTAGAATCTGCAAAAAATTTTGCAAATTTACAAAAATTGAATTTTTTATCGCCAAATCCAGTTATATAGTAAAAATGTTTGCAAAAAAAATTTGTCCAAAAAATGAAAAATTATACATTTTTGAAAAGCCCTTGACCATGCCATTTCAAATATGCAAAAATTGCAAAATTATACCCCCTTCTAATATATAGTTTGAAACCCCCTACCCCCTTCTAATATATAGTTTGAAACGATCATCTTGAAAGTTCTTCACTAATTATAATACATTTTTGTGTGGGTTACCTTTAGTACAGGGTGTCCCAAAAAACATGGGAATTCAGTGACGAATTCGATATCGCCTTTGTTATGAATTAGCACTGTAATACCTAATTTCAAAAGCCATAATATTATTATGTCTGCTAGAGTTTATTTATTGAAAAGGGTAAAAGACTGCAAAGATGTGTCTATAATGTCTCCGCAAGATGAACAGTGAATACGGACAAGTTTACTCTGTTTGTATACTGTAATTTTCTTGTTTTACTAAGTACAACCGGTTGCAGTCAAAACATTAACAAACAAAATGTAAACATAGCAGACGAAACTCTTACAGATTACAGCTTTCTCAGTAGGTATCACTATACTAAATCAAAGAATTATTTGAAAAGACGATATCGAATTCGTCACTGAATTCCCATGTTTTTTGGGACACCCTGTAGCATAAACAATATTTGTGGCCTTATGATCTCCAAGTTAATTAATTGTGGTAAAATACTGTTGTATGGAAACAATTCACACGCAGGGTTACCCTCAGAGACTGAGACATGAATAAACTTTTGATGTTGCATAAGAAGATCGGTGAAATTAGCGGCATTGAGTTATAAGTTATGTGCAGTCGTCTTTGAAATGATTTTTTTTGATCTGTGTTCAAGAAATCTTATCTCACGCTTTTATCTTCTTTAGGAAAACAATTATTTTTGTTTTAAAATACTTTAGAAAATACAAAAAATACTTTAAGTCATCCATAAACTGTTCTAAGGCTATTAATCAAAATAATTCTTTTTGTTTTCTGTGTCCTCTTTAAGAATTTGTAAGTTTTTTTTCATTGAGGCCCATCATTAACTGCTAAATAGGAAGACGACATTTAAATGATAATATGTGATGTTCATGTTGTGATAAACTTGTAGTTAAAAATCTTGTTAGTAATGGAATGAGACTATGAACAATGCACAATCGCTGAGTTTCATGTTCATTAAACTATTTAAAAACATTATTTGAACTATTTAAAAGTCGTCTTCCTGTTCTACAGTTGTATATGGGTCTCACTCTATATAAATTGCATATCTCCTTTTTTGATAGTAAAGAAGGCATTTCATTTCATTTTGATTTTTAATTCTGAGAACTTTCGAAGCACTAAGAAAGCAATTTTTTTGAGGTTTGTATTTCAAGCAGATTAAATAAACTTTTAGTTATTAAAACATTTGTCGATAGAAAATAAATTTAATTTTTAAAAATTAAAAATGTTGTGTATTACGTTTTAAACGTCATGTTATCATATATTTCTATGCATATAAATATCATATATTTCTATGCACATATATATCATATATTTCTATGCAGCTTTTCTGTTTGTTTAAAACCAATGTCTCATGTCTCACTACTAGATACAATTGCATAAAGATCGGTTTAACCTTTTTAATTTTTTTACCATATTTTAACGATGTTTTTTTACAAAACAGAAGCAGATTTAAACTTCCCAAATCAATAATATATGTATATATATCTTCAGATATGATATCAAAACATTAAAATACAGGGTATCCCAGAAAACATGAAAAGTAGCAGAACGACCTGAAGGTCGTCTGTGATCTTTGAAATACTTTACGACATTTATTCGTAAACCAAAGTTTAGAAGTATAATTCAAGAATTAACAGTCGCAAAATAACACTAGTCTTTGCATTTCCAATCTGCCTTTGTCGTACATTGTGTTCAATAAACATGGGAATTAAGAGACGAATTCGAAATCTTTGTAAAGATTTAGCCTTGTGTTACCTTATTCCTATGGTCAAAATAAAGATACGTCTGCTAGAGTATATTTTATGTAAACAGTATAAAAGACTGTTTTTTTATTCTGCAATATGAACAGTGAAGAGAAACAACTGTACTATGGTTGTATACACGAATTCATTTCCCATCTATTTCGTTTTTTATCTAACAGCTGTAATTATCAGTTTAGTCAGATTTTTCAGAAAAATACGATAGTTTTCTAAAAGTTCGATAGCAAAAAATGTTGGCTCTGTAAAAATTTGCAGATGTCTCTTTCTTATTTTTTTTCGAAAACATCGTTTGTTCATGTTTATTTAAAAAATTCAATTGTTCAAAAGTTTTTCGAAAAAAATGTTTGTTTGTTAAAAAATCTATCTTTTTGAACTTTGCGGCACAGGAACGATTTATAAATCGTTCGTTAGCTTTTTTGTTGTTGAAATTTTACGTTCAGTAACAACGATTGTTCAGTAAAAAACAATAGTTTTCTCAAAAATTTTTCGAAAAAGTTGTTGGTTCAGTAAAAAAAATGTTTACAACTTTTTTCATTCAAATGATGAACAAATCGTTCGTTCGTTAACGGTCTTACTGAGCAATAAAATGAGAAAATAAAATCGTTTTCGAACATTTTTAAATATTTCGTTCATTGACAAAAATGATGCCCATCTCATAGCAGCTATGTAGATCTTTTTGTTCTATTGAATCTTCTTGGCTTTAAAACCAAAGTCAATTATCAAATTTAAAAACACTAGAAATTCAAGGCACTTCGCGCCCTTCTTTCTAGCCTTACAGGGCGCTTCGCGCGCATCTTCTAAATTAATTGTGAACATGTTCTCTTTGTGTACATCGTAAAACAAAACAAAAATAATTCGCAGATTTTCACAAAATATTTCGTGGATTTTCAAAACTTTTAAAAATTTAATGACGATCGAATTTTGATTGAGACAAATATTTAAAATTTCAATCATTCATAAACATTCCCTGGGGTCCCTAGATGTCCCACAAAAAATTTGGGCCCGATCGGTTCAGTCGTTTTGACGTTTATTGGATACAAACAGACAGACAGACAGACAAACAAACAAACAAACAGACAAGCCAAATTTATATATAGATTTATCTGACTGCATATTGCTAAGGATAGGGTAAACAGGTCTGCATTTAAATAATTAATGGAGTTTAAATCTCTCAAGTTTAGACATTTTTGTTAAAATTATTTTTCACGTTTTTGGATCTTTTCTGAACTAAAGGTGAAATTGACTGTGGATATATTTAGGTCCTTTGAGGATGTATTAAGGTTGGTTTAATATACAAAATTCGTTTTTTCTCACAAAATGTGTTGGATAAACACTAGAATATCAAATGCTAAATGATCAAAACTTTTTTTCATTATCGAGTAGTGCACGCTTAGCAGTCATGCAGGACAAATATGTTTTATATTTTTTATAAATTATAAATCATACCAATGATTTTTAAAGTTTAGGATATTCTTAAAGGGACTGTTAAGGAAATATATTAGACAAAAAATGGACCAATTTGGATAGTGTTAACGGATCTACCTCCACGTCATACTTCCAGGAAGACGAGCATAACATATTACATTGAAAAATCTCAAATAGGAAGACGACATTATAACAATACTTCACTGAATATAATGTTACAGGGTGTCCAACGAAACATGACAGTATGCAAGAGGACTTGAATGTCGTCTTGATTTTTGATATAATTTGCTGTGTTTATTTGTCAACCTAATTTTAGAAGTAAATTTCTAGAGATAATAATCACAAAATTCCCCTAGTCCTTCCATTTCCAAAATGTGGTCTGCCTTTTTTGTGCTTTCAATATTGCCCGACATATAAAGAATTTCGTTCAGATTTCGACAATTTTACTTTTATTTAACAAAATTGAAATCTGAACCAAACTCCTTATATCTCCGGTAATATTGAAAACACAAAAAACGCAGACCACTTTTTGGAAATGCCAGGGCTAGGAGAATTATGTGATAATTGTTTCAAGAATCATACATGTTAAAGTAGATAGAAGAATAAATGTCACAAATAAATTCCTATATCAAAGACGACTTTCAAGTCGTCTTGCTATTGTCATGTTTCGTGGGACACCCTGTATTTAAAAGCAAATAGTTTTAATAGACAATTATTAAATTAATAATTAAGTGAGCTATTTACACTGAACATTTGCTGTGTTTCATGCGTATTGGACTATTTATAAAGTCATTATTTGAGTCTAAAAGTCGTCTTCCAATCTCAGAGTTTTCTGGTTATTACATCATTTTAGATTACTAATCTGTAAAATACTAATGAAATCTTCTACTCTTGAGGTTTGAGAAAATTTAAACAGCATGTGGATACTGGATACACATAAACCTGAAGACAAAGAGAAGCTGTCAATTAAGACTTCTCTGTCCACTGTATGATAAGTTATTTTAAGATTATTTTGGAAAATAAGTTAACATATTAACAACAAATTGTCTCTGTGTTTGAAATGTCTTTTCTATGAAATATATTTTTAATTTTAATGAGCTTTTCCTCTGAATGTCAATGTAATGGTGGAAAAGTAGAATAATTCTGATATATGAGTACAACAAATCGTCTGTAGTTGTCAATTTAAAAGGTGTGTTCGCGAAACAAGACAGGGTGGTAAGGCTGAATCCTTAAAAAGTCTAATTCATCTAATTTATTTCTATCTGTTGCGTTTTTAAGGAGAAAATAATTGAAAACGTTGATTCACTTAGTTAACTGTGCTATTTCAATCAGACCGTTAATAAGCACGACAGTGAAATTAAAACAGATCATGCAGATCATCAAGATATTACATTACAGTTCATAAATTCGGATTTTTTTTGGACCATTACAATGTTGTAAATATTTTATAATATTAGTTATTTTATATTAGATTTTCGCACATTTCTTGAAAAATATATAAATGTCGTCTTCGTTATATAAAATCCTCGAAATGTATGAATATTCTCAAAAGTTACACTGACATCAACTAGAAATTAAAAAATATTGAAACATTAACTTCATTGAAATAATCTGAATTAAATCTGGAATTTATGTATTGTAATATATTATTCCATTTTTTGTATTATACTATCTGAAGACCGTACTAGCCACAGAATTTCTTCTGGAGGGTTTGGTTAGGCGTAGGATTTAGAACCCAGGATAATTCACTTTTTAAAATTTAAGTTCTAAGTTAAAATATACCTAAAATGGCCATCCTGGAGTTTGTTGAGAAGCAAAAAATGATTTAATTAACAATATTATCCTGTTCACTTTGGTTTCCTTGTTTATGTTTTGTTGAAACCTAAATTACAAAAATAAAATTAATAAGATATAATTAAAATTTAAAATTTTACAAGTGACATTTCCAGATTAACATGTAAGCTTCATTTTATAAAACTCAAAAAAATCTAAAATCAGAATTATTGTAATAATTATTTAAAAGTAATTTTAAATCATAAATAAATTATAAAACACCCTTTAGTTCTAGAAAACACTCATACATATAATAAATTTAAAAGAGCCTCAATAAAAACAAACAAAATGGGATTTTTATTAAAAACTGTTTGAGGGTGGACCAGCCACCTTCTTTGAGAATGATGCAAAGGAGCACCGGCCCCATACTTCAATTTACAGTTGTCTGGTTTCCAACCTTGAGGAAATACAATTTGCGTGGAATAGTGCATCTATGTAAGACAAACTATCTGTTTATTGTTTAAAATGTGACGAGGTGTTTCAAACAGGGGAAAATAAGACAAAAGTATTGTAATCAAAATTTAACTAATTTCATTAAAATTGTATCTTTTGCCTCTCTGTATATTTGTGCATGTAATTTAAACTACGCATTTATCAAATAAAGATAAAGATAAGAAAATAAATAAAAACAAACTTTTAAAGGGAACATTTTTCATGAGAATTTACAAGCCTAATTCCATTTGTTAAATGTAAGTCGAAAGAAAAGTAAAAATCGCAAAAAAAGTTCATTTTAATAAAACCCCCCAAATTATGTTAAAAAAAAATAAAATCCGAATATATTTCTTTGATTGACTTTCTCTTTATATTCTTTTAGAGTAATTTAAAAGCAAACTTGGAAATACAAAATGTACATTCGACATGTTTAAACAGAAGTTAAAGTTCAAAACTGATTTCAGTTTTTAAAATAAATTATTATTTTTAAAGTCATTTTTAGAAAAACTAAATTTGGGATCCTTTATTAACTATTTACAACTACTTTACAGGGAAGTTAAGGGCATTTTACTTTACCAAGGGTTCGCTGCGCTTTGGATGTTTTGTAGACAAATTGGTCGGGGGAACCCGTGGTTAAGTAAAATTTTCAATTTCCCGAAAAAGTAGTTGTACACAATTTTACCGTCTTTTGAGATTAAAATGCACGAATTTTTACCAGAAAACTGGCGGAGGCTCCGCATACCTAAATAATCTTGGAGGCTCGATTCCACATAGTGGAGGCTCATGTCATCCAGGGACTCCCCCCCTAGTCCCTAGCAGGGAAGCAGACATACAAGAAACAAGACAGTATAAGTTACGTACAGTTGTCTCTGAAGTCTCATCCTTTGCTTGTAACCCGGCCCTGTGTCTATCTGTATAAGGTTGTAATCTCTCTGTTTGTTTGTACAATCATAACTCAGGAACCCCTGGACTAATTTGCCTCAAAATTTTATTGGGGAACTCGGGAGACCCACGGGTATGTTCTTAGCTTAGTTTTTTTTTACAGAATCTGAGTTGAGTGGAGCGACTTTAATAGGGAAAATTTAGTTTCCCGGTAAAATCGTCCAAGTGCGGGTAAACGGCGTGGATTTCCAAGCTAGTATCTATATAAAGTTGTAATCTCTGTTTGGGTGTTTGTTTGTATATTTGTTTGTCCGATCCTAACACAGGAACCCCTGAACCGATTTGCCTTAAATTTTGATTTGGGAAATCGGGAGACCCACGGGAATGTTCCTAGCTTGTTTGTTTAGAGATTCTAAGTTTACTGGGTCAACTTCAAAAGCAAAAATTTAGTTTCCCGGAATAAAACCGGTCAAGAACGGATGTTGTGTAATTTATTTAATGGTTCTCAATAATTGGTTAAAATTGTTAAAATATTTTAATTAATATTTTGGAATTTTTTCATTTTTTAGTTGGATTTAGTTTGTGAAATCGGCAGATCTGAGGTAGAATTTTATATTAAAGGCTCTATTTAAGGCTTTATTTACAAGTGAAATCTTTTTTTTTTTAGATTAAACAGTGAAATAGTTATTAACCTATTGATTCCAAAAGCGTCGTTTTTTGATCCGTTCTAAAACTTTTAAATTTGGAAGATTTTCTTGTTTCTTTTAACTTTTTTTCAATATTCTTATTAAACTAAATTCTTATTTGAGCAGTACATCTTATTGGGTTATATTTTATCTTTTTGTTCTTGCACTTTATATACTTTTAATTTAGCAAGTGTGTTGTTGTTCATTGTGGTTTGTCGGTTCAGCAGTATTGCTTATCCTCAAGCAAACTTATTGCTCAAGACCCTGCTGGATCTACCCTAACTCTGCTCAACCCCGATCAGCGAAACAAGTAAGGATAAACTTATTCTCTGCCAAGTCGTTCATTTAATGCAATTGATTGCTTCATTAGAAGCAAAATAGAGTTAAATTGCTCAGTTTAAGCTAGTTCCTATAAACCTATATATTGGGCAAGGTTATAGCTCCAATAAAGTAAAAGCAAACTTATTGCCAGAAGCTAAGTTTAATTGCTGATTTAGTGTGTAATTAAATAACACTAAATTATTGCTATTTAATAGCAATTAGGTTCATTACTGATAGTTCATGGGATAATAGGGTGATTGTCATGAATTAGAATTCCCTAACATTTATTTAGACTGAATACAAATAGTGTACAGAGTCCTAAAGAGATACTTTTCACTTAATTTGCTGAGAAGCTAAGCAACAAGCATATTTATTGCTTTTATTGTTAAACAATAAGTGAAGTATAATCTTAGGTTAGCCACCATTACTAATACACGAGTCTAATCCTGTGTTGGGTTAAGCATGTATTGCTTAACTGCCAACATTGCTAATATAGCAAAGTTATTGCTGAAATTTGCTATATACACCTAACATTATGTTTATTTAGTTTTAGAAACCGATGTGCTGTTATCAATCTGTGAACTGAACGGAACCCTTTCTAGGAAGATTGTATTTATCAATAAAGATTTACGTTACTTAACCTTGTCATTTATTTATTATTGGGATTAGATAGCAATTCTCTAAAATTGCGCAACAGCGGGTAAACGGCGGAATAACCTTGGTAACCTTGGCAGCGCTGGGTTCCCTAGCTAGTAAACTGTAGAGTTGTCTGTTTGGATGTCCGATCATAACTCATGAACTCCAAGACCGATTGGCCTATACTTTTCTTACATTGCTATGAAATTCTAAATTGCGTGGGTTAAATTTTATAGAAAAACCTCCAGGCAAAGCTTTGTTCTCAAGCCAGTGTTACATTAAGCAATATTTATGCAAGATTTTGCAGTTAATTTTTTTTAATTTGTTATCTTTGTTCAAGGTTGCGTCTTAGAGTTTCATACATTCTGTTTAATACTTTTGTAATAACTAGTTATTTGAAAACCCTAATAATCATGCAGAGTACATATATATATATATATATATATATATACATATATCACAACTCCATTATTGAGTGAGTGAGTCGTCATTTTCTTCTAAACTTTCTCCTAAATAAATATTTAAAACCATTTAAATTTGTTTTCTTATTTAACGAACTAGAAACTTATCAAAAACTTGAAATAAAGGATAAAAAACAGTTTTAGATAGGACTGACGTCGTTCTGGTTATGAAACAGCAAGTTTGTAAAATTAACGGAAGAGTTCGTCAGCGAACGATAAAAACCGTTAATTTTGAATTCGTTTAAACAAGAAAAAGTAAAGATTTTACAAAAAAGGAAAAATTGATATGTTTTAAATTTACGGCAACTTTCATTAATTTTAAAACTTAAAATTACAGAAAATGAAAAATAAATTTGACGTATTTGGATGTTTTTTTTTACGTGTTTTGATACTTTAGAATGTTACATGAAATAATCCTTAATGTCTTTGACAGATGGCACCTTAAACAGTTTCTAAAATATCATTTAATCACGCTGTTGTTAAAATTGCGATTGTTGAAAACGTTGGAAAAATGCATAGTTAAAGATAGATTGCGCATAAGACGACATTTTTCATCTTAAAAGATATAAATGTACAGAGATGTTTTAAAGATATTTCTATTACATAGATTAACTAGGTCGGTTGTGAACATTGGCAGTTCTTATGTCATTGAGTACTTGTGGTGTACATGGGTTCTGTAGAGAGAAATTTAAGTTAGTTTAGTCCTTCTCATGTCCTTCTTCAGTTCTCGTCAATATGATATCTTGCTCAGTGAATTATTGTTGTTCAAATAGTTCCATTCCCAAAGTTATTTTACACTCTTTTATGAAATCCATTAAAACACCAAACCACCCCGTTTATCATTGAAGGACACTTTGACCCCTAGAAGTATGAGTTCGCTGACTGTACAATTCTTGGTGATTTTGCGTACATAAGCTATCTATGTTTATTTATTTATCTATGGAAAAATGTTTGAAAAAAAAGGAAGATAGTGTTAATGATAGGAACTTTCAGCTCTTAGCTAAAGAACAAACAGTCACCGGAAAAATTGTTATTTGAACTATTTTAACTAACCATTAACGAGCGACTTGAAAAAAGACTGAACGTGTCCAGTCCTAGTTTTAAAATAATTTTTCGGCTACAACTCATGTGTTTATCAGAGTTTGAGAAATAATTTTCTTATCTGAATTCATCCCCATAATTCCAAGAAAACAGGATATGACATTTAAAAATTTTCACTGTGCCCTAGATTTATGAATCTTATCACTATGAGAAACAAAAAAATGATATAAATTGAGTAAAATTCATTCTACAATTCATCTTCATCATGTTCGCGAAACAGGTATTGTAATCTTTAAATAAAAATTTAATTTTTGGAATTATGAATCCAGATGTAGACTGGGATTAAATTTTGATTTGAATCTTTGAGTGTTTAGATATGATGATATGTGAGCCTTAGTTGAAAAAATCAGGGGTTTTATGTTTATTTTTAAACCCTTTAAGTTAAAATTAGAAATTAAAAAAATTGCCAATACCATTTTATTCGGAACCAATTATGATTATTTTAAAAAAAGACATGACCTCTTTATAATTGAATTTTACACTAAGCAGTAAATTATTTTTACTCACCATTGCAAATTTAATTATGGAGTTCTAGGCAACTAACAGAGCTGTTTCTTAGAAAATTTATTAGACGTTGTCCCTAGTAAAAACTCCTAAAATTCCCAATTACCAAGAATGATTTTAAACAGATTATTAGAAATGTTTTAAACTGAAATATTAATGTCTCCATTGTTTAGATTATTGTATTTCTCGCTTTATGTGGAATGTCTATGGCTCAGAATGGTATGAGCTGTGGAGATTGCCACCATATTGCTGAAAAAGTAAGCCATGGTGCTATGTCTGATGCTGGTGTGAATGCCACTATGGAATGGATCCTAGAACCGGTTTGTGCGATGGCACCGGCCGACTCTGACTGTACAGAGGAGTTTCCCGGATTCTGGGTTGAAATTGGAGGAGCTCTCTTTGATGCTCATGAAGGAGTCTTCTCTGCCCAACACCTGTGCCCAGTAAGTAGATTTTTTAAAGGAAGAGACTGGCTAAACCATGATAATTGAGCTGAGAATGCATTATTCTTATTACATTTTTCATAGTAATCATCCCTCCAGGAATAACATTATCAACAAAAAACATATTGAGATAAAATAAAATGTGAAATGAGACATGTGCTATTAGTTTCCTATTATCATATATATCAAATTTACTATTTTTCTTGCAGGGAAACTCAAGAATTACCTTTACAAATTGAGTTAGTTATGATTGGTTTAAAAATTCAAAATAGTGCCTTTGTTAAAAACCCACTATTTTAATGTTTCCAAGGAAAAACTTTATTAGAACCCAGAACAAAGTAGTAACCATTAAATATTTCAACAACTTTACATGTATGTTTGATTCCAAACCACAATTTGCACGAACAGTGAAAAAGCAAATTTGTTCCAAAATTAAGAAAATTATTTAAGGAGCTTGGATGCCATGGTAGGAACACTCCCAAGAAAATTGAATGTATGGAGTGCACAACCCGCCTGGGGATGACCTTGGACCTGATGACCGATGAAGAGTTCATCCTGTCTGCTGTAACTATGGTTCAGGAAGCAATCTGCTCCACTGCGGAATGTGAGGAGGCTATTAGTATTGTTCTACCTATTGCCCTGCCTCTACTGCAGGAGGACAGAGAATGGGTTGAAGATTTCTGTACTAGCTCCATTCATTGTGTTTAATCTACTAAAATACAGACAATAATGTTAATTCTTTTTTAAATTCTTAAATCTTGGCCATTTGGCTAAGAAGGCCAATGGCCAACGTATTCTAATTAAATACTGTAGTTATCTTTATTTTCCACTCTGAGACTTTTTACATATCATCAAAACATCAGCTGGTTAAGAGCAGTGGTTTGAAATATTACATGAAAGGTTTGAAGGGTATTGTTGTGAATGGGGTTTTCCCTCTATAAATGAAAGATTAATTAAATTTTTGCAACACCAACAATTTTGATCTTAAAATAATTTGCGACATTCTTGTAATCAGCTTTTAAAAGTATATTTATTTAAAAGTTAGACACAAAGCTCCCCTTGCCTTGAAATTTCCAAAATGTGGTCGGTCTTTTTTGTGCTCTCAAATTTACCGGAGATACAGGGATGTCTTATGGGAATAAAAGGGACTGTAAAGGAGAAAAGGGAAAGGGGTATAGAATTAAACCTGAGAATCTCAGGCGTTTAACGATTCATACAAGACATCTATCTGATGTTTCTGTCTCGAGAAATTTAAATAAAAATGTGTCAAATTTATACAAAAATTCATATATATGCAATTTTGTATAAAAGTTGTAGTATTAAACAGATCATATTCAACAAATATGCAACCAATCTAAAAACGACGATATCCCACAGGAGAATTTTAGATTTGCTCCTATTAAAATTTTTTCTATTTTGCATTTTTTAAAGATATCTATAAATAATAAAACAAGACATTTGTAAACATTTATGTTGTCTATAGCCGGCCACACGGCTGGACCGATTGGGCTGAATTTTTTTGTGGACACTCCTGGGTCGCAGGGATGTTAAAAGAGAAAAAATTTCAATTTTTTTTCAAAATATTTTTTTCAAATTTATTACATTTATAATATTATTACAATAGTCCGTATAGTCCGTATTACGTCATAAGAACTTCAGCCAATGGCAGTGCAGTATACTGCTCACGTGATTTCCGTCTATCACGTGACAATGATACTGCACTGCTATAGGCTGAAAATACTAACCAAAATGATATATCAAAACGATAAGAAAATCGTTTTTCGTTTTGAAAAATCGTTTAGATTGATATCTTTGATCAGAGAAAAACTTTGCATTATGTAATTAAAGCAAACTTATCGAGAATACAATTTTGCCATTTAATTCATAACTCTCATTTTTGTGAAACACTTTTAGCGTAATGAAAACCTAAATGTCTGAAAACGGTTAACGGATCTCAGAACGATGTCATTCATGCTAGGCACAAGGCTGTTCTCTTATTCTGCAGAACGTTGTATGAGTGATGTATGATGTGTCTGCAAACATTTCTCCCTGGATAAATGGAAAAAAAACATTTATATTTTCATGTAGTTATACAGCTTTCCTAGTTTAGGCAACACCATACTGATTCAAAAAATCATTTACAAAATCATCATAAGCTTATATGTGTATTGGGACACAAACAAAAATCTTTATATCTCCAAATATTTAAAAGGATTATGGGCTATGGCAAGTCTTCAGTTACTGAAAATTAATTGTCTCTGTTCCAGAAAATCTGCAAGAAACATTTGGAGAAAAACCAAAATTTGTAATTATCAATTTTCGGATAGAAAAAGGGGAAAATTACATTTATTTCTCTAAAGAATGTTTAAATGGTAGCGTTGAGAATCAGACATGCCTGGCTTATTTAACTAACTCCCTTTAAAGTAGGGTTTCCACGAAATGACCATATTTTTTGCGCAAAATTTTCGTAATTTTCACGCAAATAATTTTTTGCGAACTTTTGCCTATGAAGCGCAATAACTTTTTCGCGTTTTGTGCAATTTTTTGTGTAATTTGCGCAAAACTCGAAGTATTGCGCAAAACGTAAATTTTTAAGCAAAATATGTTATTGCAAATTGACCAAAATTGACATTCAGCACAGAATCAAGCAACTGCAGGTTTATTCAAAAATGTACATACAAATAAGTTATGATTCTTCTGCTCTTAATTGGTTACTTTCAGCTACATATTCTCCAAATTAAGGAACAATACTTAATAAAACAGAAATTAAAAATTTTAAAATTGAAAATTTATGCATAGTTTTTATCTTTGTGTGGTGTTAAACTTTGATATTTCAAATGTTGACTACTTCTAGTCAAATGATTGAAAGCATATGATTGAAATATCAAAGGTCTTTGCCCACTCAGATATAGTCAACTCTGAATCTTAGACATCAAATTTTTATACAGATCGACTTTGATGTGTCGTAACGCCTTGACCTTTGGTTTTACCTCTCACACATGATCACTGATATTTTTTTTGTAGGCCTAGAAATATACATTTTAGAAATGCTACGGGTCTTAACACTAAACAGGCTGGGGGGTGGCGTTTGGCGCCCCCCTCAATTTTTTTTTGCCCCAGCACTCTCATTTTTTGACAAGATCACCGTGAATTTTTTTTTACTTTTAATTAATAGAAATTTAAAGGATATTTTTAGAAAGCCCTTGAAAAATGGATGTATAGACATGTGTCACAATTTAATATTTGTTTAAAAATTATTTTAAAAACATTTTTTTGACCTTCATTCGCATTTTTTCAACCCTCCTAGCACCTAAACTATGAAAGTTATCGATCTAATTTTTTTCAATGAGCTGGCCTTGAAAAATTGGGCTATGAACATGCATTTCAGCACTATACCTATTCTCTAAGGACTTTTTCTAGCGGGGGGGGGACGCCCCCCTAGATTCATACCTCCCAGGCTTTACAGGGTTAAGTTTAAAACGAGTAACTGGCAAAATACTGTTCGACTTTTGTGTAAGATCGTGCACATCTTGATTTGGCGTGTGCCATCATGCATCAGGTTGCAAAATAGAGTTTTAGGCAAGTAATCATTTCCATTTTAAGCATTGCAATTATATGCAAAAATTTAAAATTTCATAGATAACTAATTCATACAGTTTTCACCTTTATTCAACCTTTTACTGAGAATTTGTTACGCAAAATTGCGCAAAAGAGAATTATGCAAAAGCGGAATAGCGCAATTTTTTCGCGAAAGGTTGCAAATGATTGCGCAAACTGCTATTTTTTCGAAAAACAAGTAAATTACAGAAGTTGAACAATAAATGTTTATTTTTTGTAAGTTACACGTAACATTTAGATTGTTAATGATGTCGTATAATTATTTGTGTTTATTATTAGAAAAAAAATCGTGATTCGAGATCTTCTTCTGGTCAAAATCTTGTCAAAGCTTAAAAAGTTAAAATCTTAAAATATTCCAGCTCTGGCTCTACCTTTGACTGGGTCAATAAATACAACGAGAACCATGCACAAATATAAAGACGACTTTTAGACTTAAGTTTTGTCTTTAAATAGTCCAATGAATATTTTTGCTTTAATGTCGTCTTTACAGTTTTCTATTTTATCATAAACAATAAAAAATACAAGTTTTCTTTTTAGTTAAAAGGAAACTATTTTTCATAAATTTTCAATTAAAGTATAAAGGACTTTGAATGCTCAATTTAGAACTTCGATAATATATAATTTAATAGCGTGTTGTGAATGCTCAATTTAGAACTTCAATACATACTATATTTAAATGCAGCGTTTAACGAGCATATTTAAACTGAATAAAACGGATTATTGAAAACCATGCTAAACTAAATTAAATGTTTTTAAACTTACATAAACGATTAGAATCAGAAAAAAACTATTATATAGTATAAAAGTCTAAAGGAATTGAGTCTTTGTCACAAAACTTGCAGGTTTTCTAATCCCTGAATCTTCACAACTTGATGGTGTAAACCTTTGATATATCAAACTAAGATGATTTGATCTATCAGAATAATTTAAGGACTTCGACAAATTGGGTTGCAAAGATATAGGAGTTAGAAAATCATAGTTTGTAGCCAAAGAATCAATTCCTTTGTAATTGACAATTTCAATGTACCAAATTAAATTTTTATCAGCAGAACACTGTTTGTTTCTTAGTCTAAAGTAATAGTAAAAAGTACAGATAACAAAGTGTACTTTATCTTGAAGTAAGGAGTATAACTGAATAGGTAACAATAGTACCAAGTATAGATAAGTGTACTCTATGCTGAAGTAATGAGTACTACTGAATATGTTAAAATATTACAAAGTACATATATCAGTGTACTCTATGCTGGAGTAATGAGCACTACTGAATATGTTAAAATAGTAAAAAGTACATATATCAGTGTACTCTATGCTGAAGTAATGAGTACCACTGAATATGTTATCATAGTACAAAGTACATATATCAGTGTGCTCTATGCTGAAGTAATGAGTACTACTGAATATGTTAAAATAGTACAAAGTACATATATCAGTGTACTTTATCCAGGAGTAATGAGTACTACTGAATATGTTACAATAGTACCAAGTACAAAGTACATACTCTATCCTGAAGTAAGGCGTACTACTGAATACGTTCCAATAGTACAAGAACTGTACTCTAAGCTGAAGTAAGGAGTACAATTGAGTAAGTTACAATAGTACCAAGAACAGATAGTAAGGTTGATTTCTCAATCAGAAAGAATTCACATCCAGAAAATGTTTCCTAAATTTTGAGATGAGTTTTACAGGGAAGCTTGTTTGAAAAAAGAAAAGGTGGAATAATTGTTGAATTCGAAATAAGTTACTGAATTATAAACATAATTTGATTATTGACTTTGATATTAAAATTCCTTGAATTTACATGCAGATTTACAAGCGACAAACAACGCATTTTTTAGCTTTTCTTAACGATAGTGTAAACAATCTATTTTTAAATCTCCTAGAACAATTTTTTTTATTTTGTATTCACTTACTCTTTTCCTTTTAACAGAAGACATACAAAAATTTTATGACTAAAATTTCAGCACAAAGTTCACAGATTTATGGAACTTGACTCAGTGTAGTATTAAGATCTTAGAATTGAAGAAAATTGGAAAATGCGGCAATATTTGTAATATTTTGTCACCTGATGGATACTAACTTTGCATTAATTTTATGCATAGGATATGGGGCTGCGCGCACGTTTAGACTTTCCGTTCGTTATAGGGTTAATCGAAACAATTACTCAACGATCAGTTCGTTAATGGTATTTTCTGTTTTTTTTAAGTTACCGATTGCTATGAATCTCATTTTATTAACTGCGTTAATTAAAATATTTTTCAAATCGTTTAAAGCATGTAAAGCGGGAAAAAACTAGAAGATGAGATTCAAAAACATCAAAAACACTGAAAAAGTATCAAATTAAATATTTTGTATAATTGTGTTTTTTTCCTCTTTCTTTTTTATTCATGAATAGTTAAATTCCTTTGTTAACAATGTCAAAATTAAAAGAAATTAATTTACCAAAAGGTCTTTTCAATTACAGTGATAACCTGAGAACTCTGGATTAGGAAGCCGACTTTTAGACTTAAAGGGAGAGTTCGCGAAAAATGAAAGGGGTATAGGCTTACGGTGAAAATAAGCACTTTTGATCACTGCTAATCTTACTTCTATCTGCTGCGTCTATCAGGAGAAATATTCAATTCGGATCATAAAAAATCAATTTAATCCAAACAAATTATTCAGATATTACAACCAAAAGTCATAGATTATTTTTCGACGCATTCGTATATAGTTGATATTTCATAATATTTTTATTTTTTATGATTTGATAGTTACTTTTGAAAACATTTATTCCTGTTTCGAGGATTTTTGATAATGAGGACGACATTTTCATATTTTCCAGGAATGTTCAAAAATCCAGCGCCAGTGAAATATTATTTAAAAAATAAAAATCAAAAATATTATGAAATGTTAACTATATACAAATGCGTCGAAAAATAATCGATGACTTTTGGTTGTAATATCTGAATGATTTGTTTGGAATTAAACTGATTATTTTACGATCCGAGTTGAATGTTGCAACTTTCTAAATTTGTATGGATGCTACGTTCTTCAGCATGAGTCGTTTTTAACAATTTTCTCCTGATAGACGCAACCTAATAGATTGTCAAGTACTTGATAACCTATTTGGACGCAACAGAAGAAGCAAGATTAATAGTGATCAAAAGCGCTTATTTTTTGCCGTAAGCCTATATCCCCTTTCATTTTCGCGAACACTCCCTTTAAGTTATAACTTTAAAAAGTCCAATGAGCATAAGATGCGGCAATTGTGCAGTGTAAACAGACTCATTTCACTAAATTAGTGATTTAATAACGTCGTCTTCCTATTCCATTGTTTTCTGGTTATCACTGTACTATTTCTAACAAGTCAAGAAGGTGTAAAGTTTGAAAAAAATACCTCTTGTTGAATCTGTTGAATGAGTAGCAAGTAATCCATCTTTACATCAGAGGTCTCCCTGATGCAAGCAGTCCTATTGTTCAAATATTATAATATTTAAAACATTGTTAGTTATATTAACTAGCGAAGGTAGGTGTAAACAGAGGGGGTCCAGGTCCCATCAGGTGCTAAGCCCCCACCTAGAGAGCAAATTAACGCCGGCCATGTGTCAACTAGCTTCATCAGCAAGAAAATCCCAAGAAGAAAAAGTTAGAATACAATAGTTAGCCCCAGGGACGGTTTGATTTTTACTTCTTTTTGAACTCTCAATTTTCTCCACAGGGATTTGATGATTAATTAGAATCAGAATTATGTCCAATCTGATCAAGAAATTTGGTGTATTCAAAATTAAAAAGCAGAAAAGACAAATTATCTTGTTTATTAAAGGGACTGTAAGCGTAAATTCAAGTGACCCTCCATTAAAAGTTGGCAATGTCCGATTCACAACGGCACCTTTAACAGCTTTGTCTGATCAAGCATGAACTAGATAGAAAAGTTTATAATTTTGAAAGCTGTTTATTTTCAATAGTGGTTTCCCTACAAAAATGACTTGAACTGACTTGAAAGGTCACTTTAAATTACGCTTAAAGTCCCGTTAAGTGAACCGACAAACCTGAGAATTGCTGAAATATTCTGGAATCTTGAATACGCATCTTCAGCTAGTAAGACTATGTACAATAATGGCAAACTTGTGAACAAAATAAAAGCTGGAAACCAAACTATGATAAAAATGGGAACTCCAGCTTTCACCCCGTAAACAGCCAAATATACAACAATTATAAGTTCCAAAGTATGGACTGAAAATACAGCAAGCAAATATGGTCCAAACCCCTTTTTAAGCCGGCGAAATTCTTGCAAACACTTTTCTCCCACCATAAGTGCATTCTTAGAATTTATTTCAATGTTCTCCATTCTTGATAGAAATCCAGTAACAGCAGATCCAAATATTACCAATCCAGTCATAGAATTAAATACAAGGAATACTTGCATTATTAAATTCATTAGCAGGAGCAATCCAGGCCAATTATACAGTGTAATTATCTGATTTACAATTCATAAAAGAAAACATTATAGATACATATAAAGGAGTGAAATTTTTTTGAAATATCATCCCCCCTTCCCTCCCCTCCCTCTATTTAAAAATAATTTCAAAAAATCATCGTGTTATACCTCCATTCCTAATAATATCAAACAAATTATACCAAACATAATCAGCATCAAGAGTTTTCTTGGTCTTTGACCTTCTTCATAACATTCTTTAGTATGTTTCTTGACATAACCAAGCAGAAAACTCATTGACATGCTTAGAATTTCGAAAACGACTACACGAACATCAAGACATACTGACAAACTACTGATGTCTAAGCTAAATGCTTCCCAAATTACCCAACAAGAATATCCTTTTTAGAAATAAATAAATAGTTTAATTTTTACAGATGCACTTAAATCAAATCAGATTTAGCTCACATACTAAATTTTTTTTCAGAAATACTTTAGAAAATTACAAATCAGAGCTGAAAACTTTAGAATGATTTATCCTTAATCCCGATTACTTAATCTGAGTATCCACTGCACACACTTTTGATTTTCTTCTTAACCCGTTCTTTCTTGGATAAAGTAGAGAAAAATAAAAAATTAGAGAGTTCCTCCCATTTCTGTATATAATCTTAAATGGCGCACAAAATTTCCAATTATCAGCTTCGTTGAATTTTATACACTTTTCAGGATAAGATTAGATGAGTCTCGATATTATGAAAAAGAGAGGATCACGCATTAATCTCGATATCCACCATTCTAAAGTTTTCAGCTCAGATCAAATTAGACTTGTAGGTGGGCCCTATAACCACACTCAAATCTAAAAATGAGCTCTCTAAGTCAGACAGAGATAAATTTATACAATTTACAATGCACCTATTTCTTGACCAGTTTCTTACTCTGATTTTCTACATATATAATCTCTTTATTTTTTCAACTTAATTCATATAGAACTTATACTTTTCAAGCCATGAATTCTGTTAGATAAAATAATTTAAGTTTGAAATACCAAAGTTTAAAGTTGAGTCTTTGCCACTATATTTTTACAACCTTATGGTGTAAACCTTTAATTTTTAAAACTTAAGACTAATTGATCTAACAGAATTTACAGTTTCTAATATCTAAGGTCTATGATATTGTTTTCTAAAGATATAGAGATTAGAAAATCAAAAAAGTTTGTGGCAAAAACATTATTCCTTTATTTTTTATTTCACAAAGGAATTTTATTTCTGACTTGGTCATAAGGCACAAAGTTTAAACCATTGTTTGATATGGCCGTTTTGTTCCATACACAAATATGATTGTGTACTCTTAAATCAACTTTTTTATTTTATTTATTTTCCTAAATGTAAGGCAGTAAAGAGAAAGGCCAGGATTCTTCCAATCCAGTAGTTTCCGAAAATAAATCCTGTATACTCTAGACCTTTAAAGAGACTGTTGGCGTGATTTTAAGTGAAGCACCATCTGAAAAGTGGTGGATCCGATTCAAAACGGTACTTTTTAAACCTTAATTTGATCAATAATGTGAAAGCTAGCGTTGTTTTGGCTTAAAAAGTGTTCACTTCTGATAATTCATCCATTGCTTCTGAAGAATGCTGAAGCCACAATTTTAATATTCATTTTACAAAAACTATTCTTGATTAAAAAAGCTATTAAAGATACCGTTGTGAATCAAACATGCCACACTGTCAACGTAGGGTTGCTTAAAATTAAGCCTACAGTCCCTTTCAGAATCCTTCCCCAGGTTTGACTTGATGTGGCGAAGAAACCATTTTTTACAGGTGTTGGGACATTCATTGGACCAGCTTCCATCATAGTGTTTAGAGACTTACTGAGCTCTTGTCTGTTGACAATGGATATTTTATAATAAGTTGTAGAACTGAAAATCAATATTCAAATTAAAGAGTAATATAGAAGGGGGGGGGGCTGCTTATTGCTTGCAATAAGTTGGACTTTTTCTGTATTCTGTAAGAACACAACTAATAAATACTCAGACAGATCAATTATGAATAATAAATCCCTGCTGTTGAGTTGATCCTAAATTGTATCTAATCTGTTTAGTATTTAATCTAAACGTTGAATTAATAATAACATACATTTGTGCATATATTGAATATTTAACTAAGGCCCCCATAGATATATATCAGTTACAAATGAGTTACTTTTATTATTATTATTATTATTGTTTGTTGGGAGTGTTTAGAGACTTACTGAGCTCTTGTCTGTTGATATGGGATATTTTATAATAATTTGTAGAACTAAAAATCAATATTCAAATTAAAGTGTAATATGGGAGGGGGGGGGGGGGCTGCTTATTGCTTGTGATAAGTTGGACTTTTTCTGTATTCTGTAAGAACACAACTAATAAATACTCAGACAGATCAATTTTCATTTATTAATCCCTGATGTCGGGTTGATCCTAAATTGTATCTAATCTGTTTAGTATTTAACCTAAACCTAAACTAAAATTTTTACGCAAAATAAGTTATTGCAAATTGACCAAAATTGATCCGTATCAGCACAGAATCAAACAACTGCAGGTTTATTCAAAAATTGTCATACAATTAAGTTATGATTCTTCTGCTCTCAATTGGTTACTTTTAGTTACAAAATCTACAAATTGAGGGACAAAAATTAATAAAACAGAAATTAAAAATTTTAAAATTGAAAATTGATGCATAGTTTTTATAGATGTCTGAATTTTTGTTTAGTTTTTAAACTAAACTTTCCCAATTGAATACTAACATATATTTGTGCATATATTGTATATTTAGGGTTTCCATTTTTCCGGAACAAATTTCTACTCCGGAAATTTGATGTGTAAACCGGAATTCCGGGATAATTCCGGATAAAATGGAAACCGGAATGTTTATATGGTTTGTGTGACGTAAACTGGAAATTTTTCCGGTTTACGGAATGAAAACCGTAAAATTTCCAGTTACCATTTCGTAAACCGGAAATTTTTTCCGGTTTACATAATGTAAACCGTAAAATTTCCAGTTCCATTTCGTAAACAACAAACTTTTAACACAATGTTAGACATAGAAAGAAAACATAAAAAGTTAAAACCTATTAGTTGACATACATTGAATGAGCGATTTTATAATTATATATTCACAAATATTTTAGTATAGTTCATCTCGTTCATCATGACTATTTTACAGTTACAGTTTTCACTTTCCCCGCAATGTTTTCTGAATAATTAGTTTTTAATTTTCAAGAGGGTCATTGGATAGGCTAGCCCCCCCCCCCTCCCCCTCCGTATTTGATTAGGATGGGATGAAATGAACCATATGAAAAAGAGGTTATAAAAACTAGGCTTCAAATTGGTGAATGAAAAAATAATAAATTTCGACATTTTTCCCGCACAAATTTTTAAACCAGTTTCAAACCTTCCCTTGAGCCATGTGAGTTGCCTCACAAATTTTTGGCTCGGTTGGTTTTGACGTTTATTGGATACAAACTGACAAACAAACAGACGAGCAAAGTATATAAATAGAGTGAGAACCAGAAAACTCTGAAATATGAAAACGACTTTTAGACTTAAGTTATGACTTAAGCAAATCTGGGAGGCTCTTGTCTGCATTGGAGAGGCTCATGGCGTCCCGGGGTTCCATCCCTCAATGGGAAAGTTCCGTTAACAATTAAAATTACCTGTTTTGATGCTTTTAAGTGTTGTCTTCTGTTATTATAAACTGTTAACGAAATTTTTTTCGCCGCTAGAACCATTATTGGTTGTTGAAAATTTTCCGTTAACGGCATGAAAAAAATTGAGATTCTGAAGTAACGATAATTTAAAAAAACGGAAATGCCATTAACGAGACGAGCATTCGGTTCTCACTTTTAAAATTAGTGGATAACTGATTTTTTCGTCTTTTTTTTCGGTTGGAACAAACCGTTTACGAAACGGCAAGAAAAAGTTGGATTGTGCCAAGCCCTATCTTTAAGTGCAGGGTAGCGGAAGTCTTAATAATACATTATTTATTTATCTAAAAACAATATAAAAACAAATATTATAGATTGAACTTTGTACACTAACATTATTACTATCATATTATTCGAATAAATGGAGAATTATTATTTTATTTCCTGCTCTTATTATTGATCTATTTTTAAAGAATTCTAATTTTTCTTGCAGGATACTGCAAGTAGTTTCAATGTTCTTTTTTAGAGTAGTATTTCTTGTTAGTTATTGTTATCTCTCTTAAAGGGAGTGACCGGCTATGTAAGGAAGTTGAACTGAGTATGCAGTGTTGTGGAAAACTTCTTTCGGATTCATTTGAGACATATTAAACTTTTAAAAGATCTGTAAATCCCGAGTTTGAGCAAAAATTCGACGTTCAAAACTCCTACTTTGGAGTGGATACGTTTTCAGAATTAGTTTTTTTAAATTATTAAATAACTAAGACATAAAATGTAAAAAAGTTCTACAATAAACTACAGACGTCGTGTTTAGGAACATTTTGAGAAAATAAAAATCAATTATATCATCGAAAATAAGTAATGTTGTTCAATTATTAGTTTCTATTATCTCATTATTCTGGTTTCTCATTATTCACAAAGGTTTTCGCAGATTTTCTAGAATCATTATTGAAAAGACGACATTTGAAGAATTTGAAGAAATCTGCGAATAAATTCAAAGAAGATTGGAAATTCAATATAATAACACAAACAAAATAATCGATATTAGCATTGATTTATTGACAAGATTCTTTTGAGAAATATATTCCGAACCATCTAATTAGATTACTGTATAATTTTTACTTTATTTTTCGTTGTAATTATTAAATGATTTTAAAAAAACTAATCCTGAAAACGTATCTCTAACTCTAAAAAAGTTACCACCTTTTTTACAAAGAAAAAACTGATATATTGAATTTTTGGAAAATCAAAAGTTACTACCATTTTACTAGGGTTTCCAGTCAAAATTCCTTGCAAAAAAGTCATTTCGTGAAAAACCACGCAACTGTTGCGCAAGAGAATTAACTGTTTCGTGGAAACCCTACATTTTACATGGCAGTTGGAACTGATGCACGTAGTGAAAAAAAAATTCGAGGTATAGACAGTATATAAATTCTATCTTTGAAATCAATAGTATTTAAATTCTATCTTTGAAATCAAAAAAGTTACTACTGTTTTTTTCAAAGAGAAGAATCGATATATCGAATTTTTGGAAAATCAAAAGTTACTACCATTTTACATGGCAGTTGGAACTGATGTACGTAGTGAGAAAAACAGTTTAAAATTCGTGTTATAGTATCTAAATTGTGAGTTTAGCAAATCTTTTTTCAAAATATAGTAGTAGTTTTAATTTAAGCAATAACAATTTCTTCTGCCTAACTACCTTCAGATACTTTT